AATAAATGATTGCTGTATGACACAAGTTGTAACTTTCCTCCAAAATTTCGTAATTTTATTTTATTGAATACTCTTTCACAGTCAACTGCTTTATTTTTGAAGTTGTTATATTGCTGAAGTTAGTTTTTGGTGTATTTAATATTGGAATATTTATAGAGCTTTTTATTACACATGATATAGCCAATATTTATAATAATTAAGAAGAATTTTGTAAGGCAGAAACTTTGATTTCGTAGAAACTGTAATTTATTTAGGTTCCTATTACTTGCGGTGTTATAAATAGGTGAAGCATATGGATATACTGGTCGGATCATTGCTTTATAAATATACAGTTTTCCCCTTTAATGAGAATTTTAAATGTATCCAATATGTATGATTTGAGAAATCTGAAGATGGCGTGAACAATGCTGATTATTTTATTGCTGTATACAGTTATGATATTTCTAAGCAAAAGCTCATTTCTGTGTGGTTCTAACGCCATATTGAAACGGGTAAGCAAGAAGGTTTTCTGATTATGACACGTGATAAGAACTCGGTCGGCTATTGGCTATACGCGCGCATCGCGGGCGAAAAAGCTGAACAGGAGTGTACTCGGTTTTACGTCTTCTGCGTCATGCGAATTTATGCCGCCGTCAAAAAAGTTGCGTCAACTACGTCGCGAGCGTCCTCGTGTGGACGGGCCTTTAGGGGGTTCCCAAAGCATCCTCTAATTCCTCATACTATTATTTTTCCCTTATCAAAACAAAAACAAAACAAAACAATGGTTTTAAAAGTGATGTTAGAAGAAGCACATATGTGAAGATCGGTAACCATAAACATTTGTTTCTTGTGAGTGCAGAAATGCACCAAATCAACATTTTCACCAGTGCTCCTGCAGAAGACATGTACTAAAAGATTCAGTTGTTTCTGATATTTTTCAACTTGATAAATCTTGGAAAAGTACTTGTAAGAAAATATCGATTTCCATTCAGAAAGCAAAGTAATAGTCATTCATTTTAAAAGATGATTAAGGGCAAAGTGAAATCTTGCCCACCCCCAAATAAATAAGTAAGTAAATAACATTAGGGGGAAAAAAAAAGAAATTTTGAAGGAATTTGGATAAGTGGGTTCTTTTTACAGTTTTTTTTTTTTTTTTTTTTTTTTTTTGTAAGGCGTGCTTTAAAGTTGTGATAGAGAAGAGGTTGGTTATCACGCTGTATATTGGAAGTGATAAACAAGTATGAAATGTTGATGCCATCAAAGATTATATGTACCTCGCTTTTTGTTTATGTAAACAGTATAAATCATCAATACCTTCTGGATTAATACTTTACATAAACAAAGACATACTCCTTGATGTACTATTATGACTGCCCATTCCTTTTATTATACCATATTGCAGGTATGGTCAGTTAATGAGTTTCAGTTGATCTCACCTAACAGATAGACTTATTTCAAACCTTGGGAAGAATCCTCCCCCTCTAAAATTTTCTTAGTATTGAAGCTCTTAAAATACAAGCTTCTTTTCTTTTCTTTTTTTTTTTTTTAAATCTAAAGCTTTTGATAATGCACTGAGGAACAAGGTCGATGTTTGCATTTATTGCAATGAAAATTTGACAATTAAGTCTGTTTTAAATAAGAAGCCAGAAGTTACTACATCTGTTAAAATTCCACAAGATGTGTTTCAATAGCAGGAAAATTAGCATAAATAAAATCAAATTGCAATATTTTACCTTCTGTTCTGCTATTAATTATTATTATTATAATATTTTTTTTCAAGTATGAAACTCAGTGCAATATAATGCATCGAAAAGCAATAAAAATACCATGAAATACCAGTAGTCTTGGATTCTGAAATCAAGGAAAATGTCATAACAGTGAAAAATAATTCTTAATATTACAGGAAAAGAAAATATATCTGAATAAATATCTATAAATATAATTCATTTCTTTAAATATTTCCCAAACATATCTGTAAATGTTGAGAAAGATTTTTCATGGTGTGAGAATTTGTTTTCTGCCAATAAGTGGTCTACTTTAAAAATTTGTCTTTCCTTACAAAGCCTGTATACTCTAGTACCTTCCCTCTTCTACCACCAGCCAATCACAAGGCTTCTGGCTCCTTCTTGTCATGTGACTATGCTATTCCACCTTGCTGAAGTCTAACGCTTGTTTATTTGAACTTCGATTTTGTTGCCTGACGTATGCCAATCACCAACCCTTCTTGCGGCCACAGCTGAACTCTCACCTTTTAAATTCTTATTCACCTACGATTCTATGATCTTCATTGCTCATAACTATTGCTTATTATCATAAATAGATTTCTGTGCACACAACTTATGCTATTTATGATGTGAAAAACTTTAGTGTTATACTTAGATAGGGCTCCGGTGCTGGAACCTGAACATCAGGGCCTTACTTAAGACTCTTTTCTTTTAAATGTTAAAAAAATCAAATAATTTAGTGTGATTCTTATGAAACAAATGCTAATGCTTTCTTTAAAGTTCGCAGCAACCTTCTATTTAGTATATATTTCAGTAAGGACTCTCAGTAATATTATATATTCAGTAAGGAATTCAGGACTTATATATTCAGTAAGGAATTTCGAAGGCAAGAGGTGCAAGTCCCTCATCATCAAGACATAAGAAATTCTGCAGAGAAGGAGGCCATATTTATAGCAAAAGCCAAACAGTAAAATTAACAGGGATGTAGTGCCATTTGTCCATGAAAATAGTAATAAAGCATGGAAAATAAAGTTAATAGCATTTTAAAAGCATTTTAAAACTTGATTCTAATTAAAGTCATTAACTAAATAAGATAAATCTTGAATATGAGAAGCTTCAAGAAAGTTTGATTCACCAACTAAAGAAGCTTTTGGGATAGTTTTTGCAGCCCCAAAGTCAAAACTGATTAAATTTCCAACAATGATTAGCTGTCAAACATTTGTTAATTTCTTCTTTTCGGATATAAGATTCAAGTTCCTTGATGTGAAATGTTAATGCTAATTTAGTTTGACCAATGTAACTAAAACCACGATAAGCTATAAATTCTCTAAGAATTAAAGTCAGAAATGGGATCTTTAAAAATCAAAAAAATGAATTTTATTTATAGGTGAGAAAATGACATGAAAATTGAACATCTGAACAATCCCTGAAATTTTATAACTAATTGAAGGATGAAATGGAAGAACAACAAGGTTATTAATGTTACTTCTAATAATGGAATGCCTGGTGACAAGATGGAAAAAGGATTTATGAATAACCATGGGATGAATATTGTCTGTAGCAACTGATTCCAAATAATTGGGTTCAGTAGAAAGCAAAAATTCTGAGGAGCAACCTTAGAGAGCACAAAATACATAATAGTAAAAAGAAACCATTTCTTGTTTAGTTGGGTGACATAATTTAGCATTGAGAGAAAAACAAACAGAAAAGGAGTTATGGTAAACAGTAGTGCTAAAAGCAGATTAACATGTTGATGGCGGCACTGTTATTCATTGCTTTTTTCCTGCAGCAGCGCTTGAATTAGTGGTCCGTTTCATGGGGCGAAACTTTGAAATAAAGAGCAAAGAAAATAACAACATATTATGATAATTGAAAGGGCAAGCCCACACTTTGTTTAGCCTGCTTTAAAAAATTGCATAGAAAAAATTAATAATTACATTTAATTTGTAAGTTATATTTTAAGTTATTTGTTCGTATTGAATGTTTGATATGTTGAAATATTAATGTATACTAGTAAATAATTAAAATAAAATAAAATTTTGTACTACGTATTTTTTATATACAAGTGTTACACATTGGTGAATCATGCCGGGCAATGGAACAATTAAGTATGACCCACCAGTGGGTCAGGCCGGCATCAACATGTTAATTGTGGATTATAAGAAAGACTCAATTGGATCACTTGAAGTTATGGAAAAAGACTCAATTGGATCACTTGAAGTTATGAAATGGGTCACTCAAAGACCTTGTGAGTCTAAGGTTGCCGAGACCTGATAATGTATATCAAGTGACAAAAAATCTCATGACCAGATAAGTGCAGTTATGCTACACAGGGGGTTAAGAGTATTTTGAGGAAGTATCTAAGGTTATGGGAAGCTTGAAGAAATTTCTAAGGGTTAAGTGTTTTTTGAGGAAGTTATGAAAGTATAATTTTTGGTACTTGCTTATTATCCCATCGACAGGCCCAGTAGTACGATTTTGTGCCAATCATTTAGAATTCTGCTGGAATGATTGGTAACCATTACCGAAATTTCCACCGATGGTCAATGGTGTAATATGTAAATACAAGCTTTTTTTTTTAAATTTTTATCTGTATATTTATTTATGTATAATTGTTTTTGAGATATTTAGTACATGTATAATCAGAAAACAATGGTTATGCAGCATGAACAATGGAACATGGTCTGTGTTTCTGAGATGCTAATGTGTTGAAATCTCTCATGTATTTTGTTTTGAGATGATTGATGGCTATGACTTTTTCTTGTTTTTGAATGTGGAAACATTCTAAAATGTACCTGACAGCATGAGATATTTTTAATTAACATACAGTGTGTGATTTCAGATGTATTTTCAGTAAGATGCTAAAAAAACTTGTTTACTAATTTGAGTTGCTTTTGAATGAAACTTGGCGTATAAAATAATAACAGTATTTGATCTGAAATGAATATTGTTATCTTCTCTAATACTTATTCCATTAAACAGATTTCTTTTTGGCTCCAAGTGGCTAAGTGAATATGCATGAATAGTGATTGTTTACAAATTCCAGTGAACTGTATAGGTATTTTCTTTATTTTCCCCATTGTAGCACGAATATGAGCAGTTTTGCATTGAAAGTCCTCCACCAAGGTATCCCTTCTTGCATGCTTCACCTTAATTAAATCAACCAGTCAACTAACCATCATTTTTACGTAAATTATAAATCGGCAAGAAGTATAGTGTGCTGCTGCTTTCATGAAATACTAGCTGAGGAAATTCAGTTTTTAATGTAATTCTCCAATTTTTACTTGTTTTTCAAAGCTCCATGAAAAAGCTGACTGTTTTCTGCAATATCCTGTTTGCGAATTGCATTCAAAGTCTGACTGTAATAGGTAAGTAGCATAAAAAAAAACATTGTGGTACTTATGCTGTATGATTTTCACTGAAATATGAAGTATGTATTGAACCTGAAAACACAGGGAAAGTTGCAAGTGATTTATGTCTGCCAATAATAAATACTGTAAAGCTATCTTAGTTGTTTCAGTGACAAGTCCACCAATAAACATGTTTGAGGACTGATGATTACAGCAATCTCAAGTCATATATATTTCTGCGAGCTATGGGTTCATATATGTCTTCCTTAAGCAAGCAGAAATTGACAATTTATTGCAACTAATACTGACACACAGCGAAATAAATAGCTGAAAATAATTCAAGGAGAAAGCAAATGTTAGGCAAATCCACCTTTGATTGTGAATAGAGTTTGATACGAGTATTGTGAATTACTGATGTCAGTCATAGAATAAATTCTGAAATACAATTTACTTAATGCTAATTTGAACTGCAGTGTCCGAGTCATATTTATATGGTATTGCTCTGGCTTCTGAAAGCTTCAGGGAAAATTTTCCTAAACTTCCAAAAAGTTATCAACTTAGAAAGAAATTGCCAAATGGCAACAGAACTTTTTAATAAATCTTGTCAGGAGCATTTTTGTGTAATGTTCTAGTTGAGCTGTTTTCACGATTTCATTGTTATTAGATTCTACAATTCTGCATTAAAAATAAACATTTTGCACAAAACATGTGGCTGCAAATTCTTGAAATTATTTTCCTAAATTCAAAAATTAAACATCTAAATAGTACAATACTTAATATTATGGCAATACACACATATAACAGTTGTTTTAGAGAGTGGAGAGGATCATAAAATGATCTAAGAAGCCATTCCTTGCCCAATAAATATTTTATGTTTACATTAATAAATTTAAATTTATTTAATTTTATATTATTATATGTTGTAATTAATTATATTTATATAATCTAAATTTATTTATATAAATTTTCTAAATTTGGTACAAAGCAATGAAGAATTGTGTGCCAAATAAGCTAGGCTACCTTCATAGAATCATAAGTCATAATCATTGTAGTGTTCTAGGCCTTTTATCTACATACTAGTTCTCTCAAGAGTAACAATAAATTTGCTAAGCAAATGAAAGTAAAGCAGTCATTCCAACTTTATCAACATTAAGTTTGTCTTGTTGTAGCTGTGATTAATAGTATTTATATTTTACTTCTAGTAAAACTCAATGTAATATAAAATATGTTGAATCTTAGTAAATAGAAAATGATAATTCATTTATGGATGGAAAAGTTGAACAAATACATATATACTGACATTTCCTAAGCTTACATAACAAGAAAAATCAGCTTTTTGTGATGAGAAGATTGTTAATGTAATATATTTAGCTGAGGATTAAAAATATAAATTTCTGAAACTAGATTTAGGTTTTTACAATATAGTACTTTTTTGTTCTATAGTTATAAATACCTTATTAATGTTTTCCACATCTTTAGATCTTTTCCACTGAAAGGCAGCATAGTGATAAGATTTTTTTCCACTTATTATCACAGCTCCCGCTTTTTTAAACACCAAGTTGGTGGCTAGAAAACAAAAATTTCCACACGATAACTGATGCTTTCAAAAGAGACTAGCTTGCCGTTTGTAAGTTTTTCCATAGACAGGTTTGGCATTAAAAGTTAAGTGTTTGTAATAAATTTGGATTTAATTGTTAAATTTTCAGAATTAAGAATCTGATGTCGATGGTAAACATGATAACACCAGGACCGGCTGCTTTTGGAATTTGTGCATGAAATTCACTTGTAGAATGCACAGTTGATATACTGTCCTTTGTGAAAGTGGAGCAGATTTTGGCAAATTTGTGTTCGAATTTGCTGGACTGTGAATGTCTACCATTTACCAAAGCTTGAATAGTTTTCTTTTTGAGTTTCGATGTGTGTGAAATATTTTGATGTTATGTAATCAGGATCAGGCTTAATATTACCAATATACCATTTTCTGTTGTATATATATGTAAAATATAAAATCTAACTTTTGAATAATAAACTAATAGCCCTTTAACTCCTGTTTCATTCTAAAAATAGCGAAGCAGTAAATTTTCTAACTAAACAAGAAAGATCCATCATCTAATCTGTATTGCCCACTTATCGATGAAGTCTGAACCCAACATTAAACTGCCATGTGATCTGAAATGGAATGTGGTACAAAAGCTTAATTGCGTCACAACACTCTTTTTTGTCTTCCCTTCTTCATCCAAATGCTTGTCACCTTACTGCAGTCTTTACTTTTCTAATTTTCATCCTTTAAGAAGATGTAATCTGTACAAAATTGGGGGGGGGTGCATAGCACACTCACAGTGATAATGTGCATTATCAAAAATAAATTATTTGTGGAATTTAAGCCATGTCTGTAAGTTTCTTTGGTTTATGCATCTATTGTTCTAACTATGCAATCAAGTTGTCTTCAAGTTATGATGCAGAGAACCACTCTGTTGCAACTTGCTTCTACCAAGTCATCTTATTACAATAATAATGCAGTCTTATCACAATATTGGAACAGTTTTATTACATGTAGCTGCTCTGAAAAATGCTTTATATTCCTTTATGGTGTTTGTGCGTTCTTCAGTGCATTTTCTGTAGTGTTCTGGATTTTGATGAATTTTTCTTTGTTAATGATTGCAAAGTCACCCATTTTATCTGATTTGCATATTCTGAGATCATTCCTTGTCATAGATTTTCATGTTTTTCAAATGCTAAATATATCCATTTTAATTTTTTTTTTTTCCCCACCATGTCTTTTGCATGTGTTGTTTCTATTAGAGGTGTTCACCATATTATGTATCTGTTGGAACTGGTTCTATTTTTGAAATTCTTCTTAAGAGCATCCACAGTGTTATAATTGTACCATCCTGACTAAAATTGTAAAATGAGTGCTTATTGCCTTATTCCAGCAATTAAAATTGTTTTTCTTAGAATTTGAGAAAAACATATGATTTACTTTTTTCTCTTCTTAATGTAGAATTGCTTCCCTTTGCAACTTGAGTATTATATATAGCAGATTAGATCACCATCGTAATTGTTTTTGAATTATCAAGTATTCCACATGATTCATAAAAATCTATCGGGTATTCCTATGATTCATAAAGATCAGTTTTGAAGCATTTTGTTTTTGATTATTTTAATATTTATGACAATAATGATTTGTAATTCTAAAGGGCAATTTTAATGATCTGCCAAGTTTTTTTTTTTTTTTTTTTTTACTTTTTATTTTATTTTAAATTTTGTGAGCCTTGAAGGGCTTGCAACAAGAAGGGAGATTTTGTGTTCATGGGTCGTTTATTTGGGGGGGGGTAATCGTTCTTTGCTTTGGAGTAGCCGTAAAAAATCATTTTCCTTAACACTTTTAATGAGGACAAACGTTTAGAACATAAGTTAAAAAATAAATTTTTTAATTTTCTGAAAATTAAGAAATATGAAGCTGGGCCCTTCTTGCTGCAAGCCCTTCAATTTAAATTAAAGATGTGAATTATTACAGATCTGAGGAACATGCCAACATAAAATATAAAATTGGGCAAAAAGGCAAGTACAGTGTGGTGTGTTTTGGACAAAACTATTGATTTAAAGGCCTAACTCTTCAAGAGCAGAATTTCTCCTCCGCTGTGAATTTTTCTTATTTAAAAATTTTACACAGACATGCTTTATTTCTGGTTAAAGCATACTGTGTACTAAATAAAATTAATATTAGCATAAAGATGTAAGGTAAGGTAAGATGTAAGGCAAAAAAATGCCTAACATTTTTAATAAATGTTATTAAATGCAAAGTTTTGACAGACTTTAAATAATCATATAAATTTAAATAATCATCATTTTATTATTTTTTTTACAGGGCCTGATGTATGAATTGCTGTAGAATTAGTAATGAAGTATCTTCAGAATTATACAATAGGATCTTTTCATCATCTAATAATTGAAAAAAATATGGCAGTCTCCATTCTGTGAAAATAAAAGATTTTTGTAACCGTATTGGTTTTAGTGTGTAACATTAAAACATTCACACTGAAACTTTTGCCTGAACTTGTTTTCTAAGAACTTGGTTTCAGTATATTTCAAAGCACGTGAAAAAGTAATTAAAAAACAAGTAGTTGAATTATTTCTTTTCATTCATAGTTTTTAAGTTGTCCCTTAATTCCTTTTTATTCGAATTTGTTAAAAAAGCTAAATTTCAACTCTTAAAAATTATAAAAAATAAACTTTTTTTTTTTTGGTTGCATCAAGTTACAAGTTTAAAAGTGGATTGAAGTTTGTTTCTATAGCAGGACTTTAATTTTAAATTTTGCACTGTAATTCAGCTGTGAGTAAATAAATTTGTGTCACGCAAAGGTAGAATTATCAGAAACAATAAAATCTTCGCTCTCAGCGTTGAGAGAATGAACTTTCCACATACATCCGTAATGTTTGAAGTGCTGAACATCACTGTGTACTGGAGTGGTTTGAAAGTTAAACTTAATATGCAAAAATAACTCTTATAAAATCTGTTTTTTATGAAAATATATCAGTTCTTGCTTATGTTAGTATTATTTCTTGTAATATAAAAAAGAAATCCTAAACTTGCAATTAAAATAAAAATATGGATTAAGTTAATGTGCTATATTAATAATAATGATTATATTTATTTTTGTACACTAATAAAATACTTAAAAATTTTAAATATCAGTGCCTAACAATGGCCTATTTTTATTTTGCATACAAAATTTTAAGCCACTTGCACTGCATGAAACATTTTTAAATTCTCAAGGGCCAGTGAAACATCACACATTTTACTAATAATACTAATTGTAGAATAAAATAATACTCAATGTAATAAATAATTAATAACAATAACACTTAGATTCCATTCAAAAAGGTTTCACAGCATTCTGAAAAATTTCTAATAAAATGCTTTGTTTCAGCATATCAAATATGCCATCAGCGACACTTCACTCCCATTAATTACAGTGTGACCGTGTGGTATTATTTATTATTACTGGCAGCACCAAAATTATATTACATGAAATGGGAAGAATTATTCTTTGTTTAAATGATATTCTCATAATGTAGCATTAATTAGCATTCCATTTTGTATGCAGTTTTAGTTGATTGAAGCTTTATTTGACCTTCTTTGAGAAATGATTTACTGTATTTGCAAGAGATGCCAATTTAGTCAAGTCTGGCTCATAGTTAGTAATCTCAAGACAGCATCTAAATTTTCGGTACTCCTCCTGTTCTTAAAATAAATTCCGTGCGTGAAAGTATTTGCTCGCATTTATATCGTGAACTGAATGCGGGCAAAATGTCGAAGCCAATTTTTTCACTGATGCATTTATTCATGTATTACTGAACACATGCAAAAACTGAGAGTGAACTAAAGGTTATAATGACCCAGATGCAGAGCTAGATTAACCACTAAGCATGTGGGGCATCAAGGAAAGAGGACATTACAAAAAGTGCTTTGGACTACAAAAATTCCCCATTGCCGATTTTACCTTCGAATGTATGCTGTAGCTAATCGAAGACCAAGAGAGAGAAAATGAGGAACAAAAAAACAAAGGTAAATTAATGTGGCCACTAAGACTGTATAGTGGTTAGGGGAGCCTACTATGGTACCGAAGGACCGGAGTTTGAATCAAGGAGAAGGCATGACTGTAATTGTCCGTCCCTTCATAGGAGGTACTGGTGGCCCACCTATTAAGTACTTCCACAATGAAGTGGCCACCACTTCTGCCCTTAGTAATGGGCAAGCCAAAGTCAGCTAAGTACTCACTTAAAAAACAAATGTGCAAGTTTTGTATGGTTGGCGAAGGAAGCATATCCAGATATAATGATTGAAATAACTAACACTTTAAAACACTTATTTGCATGCACGTCGTTTGTGCCAAAAGGCAGCAACAAAAATAAGGCACTTCAGAGAAAATACAGATGCAGTGACTCTCTTATGTTATGTAGCGAGGTCTAACCCTTTCGATGTTTGAGTGGTTAAAACCACTGAATACTGGTAGTCTGACCTGGACCTATAATTCGAGCAGGCAGTTTCCCTTAGAAAGTCCCCCTGCTAGGTCCTGGTGCACTTTCATGTTCGCTTTGGATGGCCAAAAAATAAGATTAAAAAGCAAGTTTACAGGTAGCATATGTATGTATACATTGTTTTTGTGCTTGCTATGGAGTGTGACCGACACCAATAAAATCACTGTGGGATCTCTATCGGTATTATATATTTTTAGTTGACTGCTGACTGTTGTATCGGAATACTATGCAGATATAAATTAATTGCCTCGTGCCTTTTTTGTAAATATTTTACTCCTTCAGAACATTCTACTACTTACCAAAACAAGCAAATAATGAAAACTAACAACGGCAAAGCCATTTTGTTGATGTATGGATGAAATATTGTTAAACATGCGCCCATACTTTCCTATATGAAATCTCCTTTTCCTATTCCCTACCTCCCCATCAAATATTGATGATGAATTCTGAATCACCCTGTATAACTACTATTTTTCAAGATGATTTTTTTTCCTTTTTTAACCAATATTAGTAACAAAGTCGTCAAAGGGACAGTCACAACCATTTTAATATACAGGCAAGATAAACCCAAAACAACATATCTTTATTCAAATTTATAATTATAAATTTCTTTGATTTAAAACAAGCAAGTTAAAAATATTTTTCCTATAGGTAGTTTTTGACGCAAATATCTCACACAGAATAGTACCTAGTTCATTCAAATATCATAATTTTAATAGATGACAGTTTTCTACAAAGAATACAATTACTACAAAAAAAGTCAAAGACCAAGATTGTTAAAATCTATCCACTGATATATATCACAAACTGCAATACCAAATATAGGTGTAATATAAACTTTCAAAAGTCTTTACAAGAATTGCAATTAATGCAGACAACACAGACAGATAAACTCATTACATTAGTTCATCATATAAAATACATAAAAAGCAAGTCGAACGTTTAATTCTTGAGGCACCTAATGCTAATGTGAAAACCAGCACATGCATTCAAGTTCTCTCCACGATGTGCTACAAGGCTCAATTTAAAAAAAAAAAAAAAAAAGAAAGAAAGAATTTTATAATAATAATCATGCTCTAAAAATCTTATTTTTTAACAGTAGAATACCAAAAATACAAATAAACTTGGTAGACTTTGTAATCAACAAGACAGATAGAACTCCTGGAAAATATACATACAAATTTGTTAATAAACTCAACAAGTGCTAAATCTGAAAATTAATAGGAATACAAAACTATTAAAAAAATTCATATTACAAATCAGAAGTGTAGTGAACTCCAAATTGTACAGGGGTGGATTGACCTGGATGCAAATATTCTGTCAATTATAGTTTAAGTTATTCCTCTTTCTTCGTTGTTTTAACTGCCTTTAGATTAATTGTGAATTTGAATTAATCACACATTATCTTCAGTGTTATACTGGCTAATTAGGAGTTTACTATATATAACATATGATATTATACTAAAGAGAACCATCCATTATGAAAAATATTTTTTACTTGCTGGTTGGAATTATTTGATTATGCCAAAACACATTAGGATGTCTTAATAGAAGATTTTCTGACGAAAACTGGTTAAAAGTTTTGTTACAAATAAGAAAAACTATTAATGCACCCATGCAGCCAACCTGCCCATTAGAATTCAAACTACTAGCATAGCAATCTTATCTATTCAGCAACTAAAGGGCACTTGTTGGTTAAGAAGAAGGGAGGATATATTGAAGTAAAGATCCTGAATTAAAAATACTTGTACTTAAAACTGCACTTTATTTGAAATCTGTGAAGGATTTTGCCTGGATTTGCACATCATTGGTTTTCCTTAATTAATATTTCAGTAAGCTATCATATTCTACCAATTTAGTGCTTTTACAGCTGTCACTAAACAAATATTCTGTCAAATGTCATCAAACATCTGCATTCTTGTCGGAAGATTAACCCTTTGCTGTTTCAACTGAGCAAGACAACAGTAGTTGGCAGTTTCTACTGGTAGCTCTACTTTTTGAGTAACTAACACAAGTGAGGAAGTTTTGTACACTTTGCATATTAATGGAAATTTTATGCATAAAATTATTTATTTGACACTTTCCTGCTGAATGCACCAATGATGAGCCACAAGCACTATTTGCAAACTTTTTGTTGCATCCAAATGGTAAGTGCAGGAAAGTGTCAAATAAACAAATATTTTAGCAAGTAACAGTGAACAAATGAATTAGAAACAACAGAATCAGTAGGTAACACAGTCAGTTTAATTTGAGGAAAAGGGAAAAAACTCATAGTAGAATTTCCTATGGTTTTAAAAGAAACTACAGTAAAGTGGATGTCTGAAAAATAATACAGTCAAAAGTCGTTAATTCGGACCTCAAAGCTACAAACTTTCTGCGCATGCGTCGTGTTGACACATATTCGCCGTGGCGCACAATGAATTGGAAGTTGATCTGTCAGCACTATATAGGACTTGAACAGCAGAACTTTATAACTGAAGAAGAAATTATGTCTGTTTATAGAATTAAAGAGAAAGTGTTATCACATAAAACGAAGCAACTTAAAAAACTTACATTGAAAGAAATGTTTAATAAAGTAAACAAATAAATATTAATCTTTTTTTTTTTTTTTTGTAAATTTTGATACTCTTTAGATCATAATTGTTCTTTATTTCATAAATTATGGTTTCGTATTTTTAATTTTATAATTTCTGCATGCCATCTTACCAGATTTAAACTGATGATCTATAATCCGGAATCGCCGAAGTCCGGATTAACGACTTTTGACTGTACTTCTTATCCTTATTACTTCATGTAAAATTATAATAACTTTAATATGTAATTCTCTGTAAAAATAAGTAAGAAGAATTCCTTCTGTATATATTGATTTCTCTTTAAAAAAGTCGAAAAGAAGTTAAATTTTGTTGTGGTTTTCAGAATTTTATATTAATTTTGATTTTTCTAGCCTAAATATGATGATTTGGAATGATTTGCCTAAATATAATCTCTCATAACATAACAAACATAATCTGAGGTCCCAAGGTGTGCTGATTTTTGGTTTTCTACTGAGCAATTCTGAAAATTTTTACATATTTAAGACTTGTGGATGATTAATTAACAAAATAGAACTAAAAATTAAGCAGATTATTGGAATTTATTGTACAATACTCAGATGCACAGCAAAATGAGCTACTTAAAAGTTTATATATTTTTTAAAAACATTTTCACATTCCTAAAATACGAAATGATTAGTAATTAATATTTCTAATTAAACTTCAACTTTCATGCTCTCAACACACAAAGATGACAAACCATTAAAATAAATTAAAAAAAAACATAATTTTTGTAACATCTTATTATACAGAAAGTTTTAAAATCAAGTCTAAGAGCTTGCAAATTTTTATTTTATTCTCTTTTATTAGTCTTTGCTATTCTTACAACATAGCTTTTTTAATAATATCTGAAATTAATATTCAACAACATTCCTAGCTTATCAGAGAACGATGAAATGAAAATATCAATAAACCTAAAGCAGTTTATAGAAAAAATTAAGGATTTCCATTTTTTAATTTTAATGTAACCTTATTGCTAAAAATGATACCACATCTATAATAAACTCGGACACTGTATACATAATACAAGTTTCATAAAAATTCTGAAATTTGCATATTATGTGTCTTTAATTTACAAACATTTAATAATAGTAAAACTATTATCAAATACCATACTTCTAAATTAAGAAATTAAATAAACAAAATTACAGATTCCCTTTCTATAATCACCCATTTTTTAAGACTACACTTTTTATGGTAATATATCTTTTACAGATAGTTACAGTTTTTCAAATAATTATAAATGTCAACATTAAATATTTTTTTCACAGTACCCTTAAGTAGTATTCATCTTTAAAAACAGAAAAACTCTCAGAATGATTAAAATAATAAACTACAATCCAGTTAATTAATTAAAATTGAATATATTCTCACTAAAGAATTTTGAACAGCTCTTCTAATAATTTTAAAATTATGATAAAAACTTGAAGAATATAAATAAATAAATGCAGCTACAGAACACAAGAAATAAATTGGTTTACAGATCTATAAGAAGAATGTATTTTATGTTTATACAGCAGTCAAATGCACTTTGAAAACAATACATGTCTAATAATATTCACAAACTCTAAACTTTTAAATATAGTTCTTTTATAAACAACAGAACAGATGTAAATGTAATCAAAATAAAGCACTATGTACCAAATATTATCAATAAAAAAAAACTATGACTCTGCCGACTAATTTATGGTACATACTTTTTTTTTTTGTTTTGTTTTTGAAAATGCTCAAAAGAGTAATTCGACTAGTCTATGAAAACATGCCTTTCCTCGATGCTGGTGAAGTAGATGAGAAACTGTCATCTTTAATGCTTATCAGCAAGGAACATCAAGATTGTTGATAGGATTTTCCACAATGTGCACCTCTAATCTGGTTGGTGAGCTGCCTCTGGAATGTGCGGACTTTGGCATGATAGAATTTAAAGCTGTAGCTGAAAAGTACTGACACTTATTAACAAAAAGCAGAATTTCTGAAAACATGCATTAAATAAAAAATAGCTAATTAAATTATACAGAAATTTTAGGATCCAGTTAGAATTCACAACATGTCCCTGAATAAACTTGCCAAATATTTGCATGCAATTAAATATTTGAAATAAGTATTGTAATAAGAAGAGGTAAAGTATGTTAAAAAAAATTTGAAAGCTGTCAGATTTTTCATTATGCCCAAAGGGGCATATTTTTCACACAGGGGATTCGAAACAGATTTAAAAAGTGATACAGACATTCAAATTACACTGGTGAAATAAATTAAGAAAATTTTCATATTTTATCGGATATCATAAAAAGAACTGAACTGAAGGAAAAACCACTGCTTCTAGATAAAAATGCATATCTTGTATGGCAAATACGTAAGCGTACATGTGTGTGTAGGCGGAGCCAGCAAGAAAAACAGGCTTTATAAGTGCGTGGAGGGTAGGACGAATTGCGTTTGCTAGCACACCTCAATGAATTTCTTGGTGTTGTTATCTTGCAGTAATCAGTTAAATTCACATCGGAACAGTAAAAATGAGTAACCACCAATGTTTAAATGACAGAATGAGATGGTGAATTGTGGGGAGGCTAGAGGCAGGCCAATTGCAAGTCCAGATATGCAGAGTTTAATTTAATGCCCAGTGTCATGTGTAACCTATGAAAACTTTCAGGATACTGGATTCATCGAGAAAAAGCCTGGGCAAGGTCATCCAAGAACCACGATGGCCAGAGAAGATCGTTATTTGTCCATTTTAGCGAGGCGTAACAGAGAGGCTACAGCTTCTCAGCTCTTTCAGGACCTGTATGTAGTCACAGGAACCCGTGTAACAAGGGTGACTGTTTCCGAAAGACTGAATGAGAGAGGGTTGTTTGCATCCCGCTCATGTCTACAGAGAGGAGAGTCTGGTTAGCATGGTGCAGGCAGCATAGTGATTGCAGTACGAAGCAGTGGACGACCGTTCTGTTCACCGAGAGTCCCGTTTTAGCCATAAACACCGATTCTCGCCGTACTTTCATATGAAGAGAGCCAGGGACCCACTACCTACCCTACAATGTCCATGAAATCAACAATTATGGCGGTGGCAGTGTAATGGTCTGGGCAGGCATCATGTTGGATGTCCGCACACCTCTCCACGTCTTTGGGCTCTGTAACTGGTGTGAGGTCTTGGAGCCCTATGTTGGTGCAGTGGGCCCCGAGTTCATCTTACAGGACGATAACGCGAGGCCACATAGAACTCTTCTGGTCGACGAATTTCTCAGGAGTGAGGATATTCGCCGGATGGATTGGCCAGCCAGGTCTCCAGACCTCAACCCTATAAAGCATGTCTTGGACGCTTTGGGGAGGGCAACTGTAACTCGCAACCCCCTCCAAGAACCATTCAGGAGCTGAAAACAGCATTGCTGAATGAGTGGGACCAATTACCACAGGCACTGATAAACTACCTTATTTCCGGTATGACATCACACTGCGAGGCCTGTATGGCTGTAATAGGGGACCATATCCCCTATTAGCCAATTTCCTTCATATCTTCTGCAACTGCTGTTTCAGACCTTCAGACTCCCATGAGTGTTACACACGAACATGTGTGCCTATTATAACTGTTGAATGTGTATTTTGTTTGTATTATACCAACCTATGTGCACACCAAATTTTATTAAAATCTGTCCAGTAGTTCTGGAGATCGTAGATCAAATATGAAAATTCTCTTAATTTCTTTCACCAGTGTAATTTGATGCAAAATAGTGTTAATGTAATGTCTTTATGTTGCTATGCGACTAACATAATACCAGTAAGGAATGTAAAGAAACCTCGCACATAAAATATCTGTGCATGAAGATGCACGTGATTTCAGTGTTAATAGAACGCTTTGAAATTTTTGAGTTTGTTAATAAAAATTTTTTAAGTTTTACAAAACATAAAATAGATAATAAAAAAAATTCAAATTAGAGCTTCCAGATGTCTATATTTGAATGCAGGACTACGTTATTCAGAATTTGATGTCTATAGGTACCATTGGTTCCCCCCCCCAAAAAAAATGCAAGAAATATACATACATTCATGCAAATTCTTCATTATTTAATTTCTTTAAATATAATGTAAGGCTCTAATATTTGGTGGCAACAATTTGAAAAGTGATTCTGACTTTTATAGTGAACCGACACAAAATGCCAAAATGAAATTAGCAGCCCTTCTGGGCTAACACCTTTTGGCCTAAAAAGAAGGGTAATAGTGCTATGTCTCCCATTCTGTACAGCCAATTGACAAAAGTCAATTTAAATTTTTCAAGTTCTGAAAGTACAATTTAAGATATATCAAATTTATATATAGCTTTGATTTAAGTCTCCAAGCACCAAACAGCGATCAAAAATATTTTTCATGAAAACTTTAAATTCACATACATGCATTGATACATTAAATTCTAATCCTTGCCCTTAAATTTTACTTAAAAGCTAGGCTTCAATTATCACTGACAGCTTAACCAAATGGCAAAAATGTATACAGACAAATGGATTACTTATAACTTTATTTTATTCCTCACATTTGTTAGGGACAAATTAAAATGTTACAAAACAAAATTGCCAGTCTCCAGGACTTGGCAAAGAAACAATCTGGATTAATCTGAAAATTCTTATTCTTTTGAGAGAGGTTCGAATACTACGAACGGGTTGGCTGCATGGGCATTTTCATGGTTTTCTCCATGTGTTACGTATATATAAGAAAATTTCTCCTAGAAAGTCCTCCATGAAAGATTTCTTTCCCTTATGCAAATAAACCTAGAGACTTTGCTGTAATCACGTAAAACCAAAACCAATCTTATTCACTTGAGCAGTGGCATTTACTAATAGGCAAGTGCAAGGCTTATTTTATTTGGCTTCACACCCAAATGGAGATCTAATACACATTTTCCCTCACTTCATACTAAGCTGCTTCCCATTTAAATCCGTATAATTCTCAAGAATAATTGAAAACATGATGAAATGAAGCATTAAGGACAAATATAAATTAAAACTTAACTAAAATGGCACAATGGTACAAATTGGGAGGGTCATTTTAGAATTAAAACCAAGAAAATGTCACTTACTGATACACTAGGGTTTAAGGGCCAAATCCTTGGTTATTTGAAGGTCAACATATGTCTAGAATGCTATGCCATTTTATCCCTCCCCCCACAGTTCAATTCTACACCTCTAATTATGCAAAACGCCAAGTATTGTAAAAATTGCAGTTTTTTTCAAAAATTAACTCAGTAATTTTAACTTAATTTGGTATATTTTTAATAATAATGTTTTTCTTTAATAAAACTTCATTTTAGTCTGTTAAAATCTAAAATTTGGGCTTAATTAAAATAATATTCAAACATTTTTCTAATTTAGTTAAAAATTTTAATTTTAAAATAATTTTAAAAAATTTTCAAAAAGAGAAACCGAGTTATAACCTATAAAAACTTGCATGCCATCTTAAAGCAAACATTTTTAGAAATGTTTCCAAAAAATTAGAATTCTTATTAAAAAATTTAAAAGTTATATTTAAATTGAAATATGCTTGGTGATGACACCAGATCTGAGCATCATTCCATTTTGTACTTTTAAGCTCTTTTCACTTGGATTTAATTTTCAATCTTTAATCTTTTAATTACAAGAAATTTAACAAATTGGCTTTTACCACCATAACATTTTAAGCCTTTTAATTTCAAAATGTCAGATGTATAATTTTTGTAAAATTATATTAAAATTTCTAAGAATGTCATTTTAGGATAAATGATAACCAATTAAATTTGAAAGTAGAATTTCTACACTCATGTCCATAAATTAAGGATAATTCGGAGTTACGTGGAAATCGAGCTCTAAAATAAATATAACACCTGTAAAATCACTACACACATCTTCAAGAATCATATGCAAATTTCAGGAAGTAACCAGATGACACCGATGGTACGTCACAATGACAAGAGTGTAAGAGAGTGATATATAAGGAATACAGGAAAAGAAGTAAAATTGTTCGCAGACGCTTTATAAGCATTTCAGTGCAATAACCGAATAGTTATGACACAAAGGACGCATTTGAATGAATTTTTATGTGGTAGAATTATTGGCCGTCTGGAATGTGGGCGTACCCAACTGGATGTATCAGACGAGCTTGGAATTGCCCAGAGTGTCATCTCCAGGCTTTGGCAATGATTCCAATATGATGGTAATGTGAGTAGATGTTACAGCACAGGTCGCCCCAGAGTTACAACGCCGAATGAGGACCGGTATTTTCCGTTACTGCCAAAAGCAACAGGCGGAGCACAGCCTCAGACCTGTCTCATCAGCTCTCTTCAGCCACTGGTACATCAATTTCAAGGCAGACCATGTACAGACGCTTAGGGCAGATTAGTCTATATGCTCGTAGACCTGTCAGATGCGTTCCACTTACTGCAACTCACTGTCACCTACAGTTAGCCTGGAGTAGAGAGCATGCATTGTGGACACCTCAACAGTGGGCTTGTGCGATGTTTTCCGACGAGTCCAGATTTAGCTTGCAGTCTGATTTTCGCCGAACTTTTATATATAGGGCTCCAAGTACCTGTCGCCACCAAGAAAACACCAACGACACCATTACGAAGGTGCAGGAGTGCTCGTTTGGGGTTATTCTGGTTTCCAGAACTGACCTGCATGTTCAAATTGGAACCATGACAAGCCAAATCTATCGCGACGTCATTCTTTCTGGAACAACATGTACGTTTGTTTCAGGGCGCAATGGGCGCACAATTTGTGTTTATGGATGACAGCGCTCGTCCTCACCGTTCTTAAGCGAATGCCTTCAATCGGAGGATATCACCCGTATGGACTGACCAGCATTCTCACCGGACTTGAATCCAGTACAGCACGTGTGGGACATGCTTGGCCGACGAGTTACAGCCCGTCAACCTCCTCCTGCATGTCTACCGGAACTTCGGAGAGCATTGCTTTTTGAGTGGTGTAATATCCCCCAAGATCAGATCGATAATTTGATACTCAGCATGCCTAGGCGTTGTTCGGACTGTATTGCATCGTCTGGGAGACATACAATGTATTACAATCATGCCAACCATGTAATATTGGTTTTTTGTAAATAGTTTTTTTTTTTTTTTTCTAATTTGCTCCAATGAGAAAAAATTGCTAATTTTTTTATAATATCAAACATATAGCATCTTTTTTTGCTCTTTACCTTTTGTTTTAATAAATAAGCTTTACAAATAAGTCAAATTTGTTTTCTTTCTAACTCTTCCTTTGTCTGATTTTGCATTATCCTTAATTTATGGACATGAGCGTATTTCACCTACAGATATTTTAAATGAGCAAGATTTTTACACTGCCCTATTTTCACATAAATTTATTTAATTTTTTCCCTCTTAATTAGTTCAACACTACCTACTAAAAGGATAAATGCAGATTAAAGTAAAAAAAAACAATCGTTATATTTATATAAAAAATGCATAATGATTTGCACCATGAAAGGGTACATTTTCCCAAATTGCAAGTTTTAATAAACTTCATCTTCCTAAATATGTAAACTCCAGATAAAAACCTTTTCCAGTTTTATCAAATCCTGAGTTATTATTTCACTCACCAATATTTATCTTATTATAAGACTTAATTTATCATTGAAAATGTTACCTTTTACAGCTATGCTGAAATTACATGCACTTAGGAATCCAAATGAAAGAAAATAAACGTACTTCAAAGTTTACACTGAAATACAAATGACACATTTTCGTTCTGTGGGCTATTCATACTCTAAATTTAATAATAAATGTTGTAGAAAAATGAATGGAAAGCACAGGCCAGTTGAAATGGTATATTTCTATTATCAACGGTTATATTTCTATTTATTTATTATATTTTTCCAAGTTAGTTTTAGTTTAATATTTTGACATTCTTCTGTTTACGTTATTCTAAGAAATACAGTAAAAGAATACAGTAAATTTTTGTCAAGCACAAATTTGCAGAATGCAGTTTTGCAAATACTTGTTATCCTAATTGTTTCCATTTGACTTGCATGATACTAGAATTTCATTCATAAGCGGTTTCATGAACATCATGTTTCCAGAGCAATGTACATTTTACAAGAGACTGTCCACACGTACATCTGGCAATCCTGCTAGCTCTTCCACTCAGGCTGAGTTGTGATCATTTCACTCATGTTATCAGAGCTATGATCATGTATTTATCAGTGTTTATCCTCTTCACTTGCATATGTATTTCTTCTAAGCTCAAAATTCTATATGATGTCTACGATAAAGAATGAAGAGAACAAGGAACAAAAAAATGCAAAGTTTTGGCATCATTTAAAAAACTAAAATTTTAGATAGGAAAATAATACACTTGTTTCATTGCCTGCAAGAGAACTAGCTATAAACGGATAAAGCACAAACCAATACGGAAGAATTAAGAAAAGATTCATAGCTATAAACGAATAAAGCAAAAACCAATATGGAAGAATTAAGAAAAGATTCAATCTAGAGTCAAATCTTCATGTGATACTTTGGCAAAGGCACTCCTTACCATGAAACTTTCAAAGAGTTGCATCAATAATCATTCCAAGCAAAAATTACAAGCATTTTAAAAAATTAACTGTATCCTGTACCTACTCATTAAACAGAAAAAAAAAATACATTTCAATTAAATTTCATTTTCTCCTTTTTACTTGTAACAATATTTCAGTTTATTTCAATTATACATACATTTTTAAATCTCAGTCATACCTGGCACATTTTTTCCACAGAAAGTTAGCTCTGTAAAATCTGATTTTGCCATGTGAACAATGTACTGATGATGTAACCCCTGCATTTACTTACTGTATAAAAACAAGTACAGAATTTTTTTAAAATCAAAATTCTTTGAGTTAGGTTTTAATTTTATTCAAAAAGGTAAAATAAAAGTTCAGTTTTATGAATTGACAACATGAAATATTATTTTTAATTTAAAAAAGAATCAAAATATTTGATGCACTTAATTACATTTTAAATTTTAAAATATTTTAATGGCTAATTTTTGTGAGTTGTTAATTTAAAAATTTCAGATAGTGAGAGTTCAATAGGTTTTAATTATTTTCTGAAAAATATTGGTTTCAGAGTCTTCTCAAGATAATGACAGCTACAAGAGAGATACATATTCACCATGAACTTTTATTACATACAATTTTGCATAATTTTAAATAATACATGAATAAAGGTTAAAATGATAAGTATTAATCCCCCAAAATTTCAAGAAGGAGGGGTTAACTGGGATAACTATCGACTTATTTAAAATTTACTACTCACTTTTATTTTTCTTCTATACTGACATGCTTTAAGTTGAAATTCTTAATCTCTTCCACAGTAGATGATTCTAAGCATAAAATTTTATCTTGTACATGAATGAAATTAAAAAAAAAAAAAAAAAAAAACTTTTTCTTCTGAAAATCCTTTGATACTTTTCTGACATCTTGATTATTTTAAAATAATTTTACATCCTGAACAATATAAAATTTTGGTATTCAAAACAGTATGTTTTCAAAATGCAAAATTAATAACTCAGCTATTAAAATTCTGAAATATTTAAGCACATGGTCATTCACTGAAGACAGGGGAAAAAAACGGCAGGTTTAATGAGTACTTTGTTAATATTGCAACCACATTTGTGAATTTGGTAGATTGGTAGTTTCAAATTGGAGAAAGTTATTTATTTCATATCGTACATGTTATTAATAGCATATAGTTTTATTTTAGTCCAATATTTATCCTGTAAAATATTCATAAAATTACTTACAAATGGTATCTTTGGCCATTTACCACCCATTTCCAACTCTTCAAAGTAAAATGTTACACTTATTAATTCATTACTCCAGCAGTATATACAATCCGACTGCTATCGTACACAGTAGACGAATATTCTTGAACCAATTACTGCTTCAAATGGCAACCTGTTTAACACACTCCTTCATGGAGATTTCCAAAACAGTTTTTTTCCAAAATAAAACATTATCAAATGCAAATCTGAAAATTCCCACCTTTGCATCAAAATATTGTATTCTCGAAAAGATTTCACAGAACTTTTTTCATTTGCAGAGATATCTCACAAGCGATATTCCAAAATTCAGTTGAAGACCCAAAATATCACAATTTGCCTTTACAGCTTCTAATACAACCAAAACAGCATGTATGAAAATGGCGATATTGCTTATTTAAACTTGCAGTTACTTGAAGAATTGTTATGTGCATGATTGCCACAGTTTGGCAACTTCTACTGAGGTGGTTGTGATAACACCACAGTACTGATTAATGTATTAGAAGTGCATGTTTATTACAAAATTTGGTAACTAAGCATAATTTGAGGAATAAAATCAAACAATGGAAAAAAATGAGCATGCCATTTGAGAAAAAGTTTTGTTTTACGTAAAGTGTTGAAATACATACTATTTTAATATGATGAATTCTTTAAATATAGCAAAGCACTTAAAGAGTTATATGCTTAAAAAGGCCATCCCAATTTTGATTAAGAACATACTGACAAAAATAAAGAGACCTGTACCCCCGTCAAGAGGCTTACTATCAATTTTTTGAAAAGGACTACTGGACTTAAGCTCTCTTATATTGCACATTACAAATATCCATGCTTTACATGATATTTTCACCTAACTCCAATTTTGCTGTTAGCTTATGTTAAACTCAATATCATTTGGGCTACAGATTAACAAAGGTTAATCATTGCATTATTATTTCATTGATTTTGTTTATAACACAGAAGTTTTTTCAGTAACAATGTATACGATGTAAGAATGTATACTTTACAAAGAAAAACAAATAAAAATATAATGTAGCAGTAAAACATTTTATTTTAAAACTTTAGTTTTGTGTAAATGATTTTTGATAATTATGGGGATGGGAATCTATTTTTTACATATAAATAACATCTCAAGCCATATGAAATTAAATCAAAAGCAATGAAGCATTTCTTAAGATTTTTAAATTTGGATTAAAATTTCTTTCACAGTATTTTCTTTTATTTTGGCACTATGTGATCAATAACATTTTAGAGCTGCATTTGAAAAGCTAACATAATTCAGATAAGTTAATAGAAAAATTTGGCAGTTTAATGAAAAGAACAGAAAATGCAATAAAAAATTGAGAAGCTCCCAGTTTTACACAAAGGTAAATCCAAACATGACTGATTCAATCATAATACACAGAGCACTAAATTTAATAGAACATGAATATCAAAGAACAATCTGATAAAATACCCAGCTTATCTGAAATGTAATTAGCCTATGTATAATACAGTTCTGTCTGGAGAGGCAAGAAGAACATTTCCTCAGAAAGGAAAAGAGTTTAGGTTGGCCATTGGTAGTATTTTCGGAAAAAGTACATCTGGGTGTAAGAAGATGGATGAAAAGGAGCAAATAGTATTTTTATCTTATTAGCTAAATTCCTTTAGGCAAGCAAGTCATTAACATTTACATCTTCTACATCTGTCTGCGACCACCCTGATTCCTATGGCGGTTAGCAAAGCAGGCTGCCATAGAGTTGGGACAAAATTTAAATTTTGGAAAAAGCATGAGTATAAGTAAATGTCTAACAACCCCCTTTCTCTGGATTATCAATCAGGCCAGCAGTGCAGCAGCAGCAGCATTTCTGGTGATAAGACAGATAAATGACCACTGGTTTAGCCACTCCTGACAAATGACTAATGAGTGCCCAGCCAGTAGATTAAAAAAAAAAAAGTGGAGTTAGAAAAAAAAACTGTCAGCTTTGATATTGAAAGTCATTTGTGTGTAACTTAGAGAGAAAGCTTGAAATATTACAACTAGAATACAATATTTTTTTCATAATGCACTTTCTTGAAAATTTATTGAAACACCTAATAAATGCAAATCTAGACAAAAAAAAAAAAAAAAAAAAAAGGAATTACCGTATTTGACGGCATATAAGACGCACTTTTTTTCTTAAATTTGGTCTAAAAAAAGTTACCTGCATTTTATACGTGAATAATTGTTTATTTAGCTTTTACGAAAAGTGAGAACTAAAAGAAACCACGCTATCGAAACTTTTTTTCCTTGTGTGTGGCCGTCTAAATAAGGGTGCGTCTTATATGCCGTCAAATATGGTAAATGCTGCAGCTTATGATTACTTTTTGCAAATCTAAATTTTCTTCAGATTTCTTTCATTTTACAAAAATGTAAGCCTTTTATTAATGCAAAATGTGGATATCTGAATTGCTAAACTAATTTTAGCTGGTCATAGTTCTTGTGCAAACATATTACATAAAAGAATTTAAATCTACATTTAACATAGAGATAGCAAAAATTCCGATACATCATGAAGATTATGAAATCAAATATTATTATTAAAATGGTTCTTTAACATCATAAATGATTTCTTTCTATATTTGATTGGTACTAATTGATCCTATACAATGTCCTCAAACTGTTCAACTATGTGGTTCCATGCAACTCCTACAAGGTCTACAAACCAAATCAAAATTTAAAACCATTTTTTGAGTAAAATATGGATATAAACTTTAATGTCCAGAGAAGTCAATTATTTTTTCTCTTAAATTTTTATTTTTACCTAAAATAATATGTAGCAAATAAGTCTCAATACTAAATTATGATTTTCTTTTCATTTCTCTACAAAACACTGATATATTTTTAATGCTTTTTTAATATTTGCTTTTTTAAGGATTATACTGGTTCCACATGCATCAAAAAAAGAAGGGGGAAAAGGGGGGCTTTGAATCCACACAAATAATTTTATAGTTCTGGGAACGTTTGAAGATCATTGCTCTAAATGTGCATATTTTATTTCTATGAATACTAGCTCAGCTGGATATTGTAATTAAGATTTTTTAAGATTTTAAGATTAAGATATCACATCCATACTTTTGAAATAAATCTATAACTTCATATTGCTAACATAACTATTATCTATATGATAATCTCAAAATTTCAAACTTCACCAACTTGAAAAATAAAATCAATAATAATGAATTAAAAAATAAAATTGACAAAAAATAACTGAAAACTTACAAAAGAAGGAAATTTTTCAACAGGCGTTCATGACATTACCTTCACAACTGAGTGATGAAGCAGCTGATGATTTACGGCGATACTGATTGAGAGCTGAAATGAAGGCCATTTAATTTGACACAAAATAGCATAAACAGATGAATTGGCATTGCCTACATTACAAAGAGAATGGGAAAAACCTACAGAGCTGAACACTGAACTCACCATAACCAAGCCCTTGCAAGAAATAACGAAGAGCTTCACTGACTTTAGCTGGCTCTTCTTCTAAAACCATTCCACAGTTAGACAGCTAGAAACAAAATAGACAATTTGGTCACATAAAATATTATCCTATAGTGTGGAGCACAATTTATATGTTTCTTATTTCATTTATACGTCAATCATTTCATTCCTAATCACAACCATAAAATATTTCATCATATGATGGGTGACTTTAGCTATAACATAGTTTTCAAAACTCATTTACCAATAGTTCTTTTGCCAGTGCAATTTCTTTAAAATTCATATTTTTCCCTTTCAGTCACATTTGCAAGTAATACACAAAAGACGATGTAGAATATCTCAGATTAGACAGAGGTTCAAATCTGGCTGTGAATGGTAAGGTTATCATTTAGACAGATAAGGGATAGATTAGACATTGAAGTCTCCTACAGATACCTCTCTTTTGTTTTCCCAATTTTTGGTACTTTTTAAATATAAAATATTACATACATTTAAATTCTAAAGGTTTGATTGTTTATGGAAATATCCTAGTGTAAATACAGAATCGTATCCCTTACTTAATATAACCTTGATACAATGCAAAAATACAAGTCTGCAAATTATAAAGCATAACATTTCATTTTGCAGAATACCTGAATTTGAAATTGCATAATGATTGCAGCAGTGCTGGAGAGAAATGGACCATATTAGCAACCATAACAATGTTGACACATACAGAAATTCCCCCTCTTTCAGATGTAACAGTCATTATCCTTCCAATACTACATGGGTGTAGTCAGTGCATGGAAGTGTTCCTAGCTTAAAACTAAAATGCAAGGAGCTGCATATAAGGATAGAATATTCTAAAGTACTCATACACGTCAAAAAAGCTGACATATTAAAATATAAAGTATGGTGACAAGATGGGTTATACCAAAATATGACTGATGAATAACATGGCTTATGCAACTAGCCATTTTGGATGCACAAGTATCAGCTATATCTTGATTTGCTGATGATGATTAGCAATGGACTGTTTCTGTTCTGTCTTGCAAATAAAGTCAAACTTACTGAGCATGCAGCAGCAATTATGTAAAACTGTCATACACCTGATTCCTCACACCAATGAAGAAGAATGATTTTTGACAATTTTACAAGGCTGCTAACATCCACATGGAATAGTACATCTGTGAAGAGTGAATTCGTATGAAAAATCATTGCTTTAAATGAAACACAGTAAAAATGTAAATCCAGTAAGGAGAACTACTACGGGTCTCCACATCCAAAGAAAACATGTGCAAAATCCATGAGAGTCAATGTCATTATGATTATTATGGTATGATCGTTACTCAATATTTACTTAGTAGATGTAATTTGTACTTCGTACATTTCTTGCAAACCACTTGTCATAAAGTCCTGCAGAAAAAACAGCATCAAACACTCTCCACTTTATCCATAATCTCCCATGGCAATGCCTACAATTGTAGCTTGCATTCTTCTTCATCATCATTATTATTTTTATCATTTGGGGTGAATGACCTGTTCGCAAGATGAGGTTCAGAAGTGTTGTGACAACCTTCACATTCTCTAAATTTCAACCGTGTGACTGATTTATTCCCTTAATTCAAGAAATATCTAAACAGCATTTGTTCATGCAATCCTTTGCTTCATTTGCAACACAAATAAATTTTGAGCTCCCAATTGCATTATGAAGACCCATACCGACAGAGTAAGTTCATGAATAATAATCAAGCACTTAAAAAATTAATCTACACTATGAAACGAAAAAATTGAAAACGAAAAAATTTCGATTGACAAATTAGTCGGTATTCTCGACACAGCAATTATAGGACTTTCCAAATAAGAAGTACATCAAGCATTAATAAAACTACTTGTCTTAACTTGAAGTGCAGTCACACAGTTATGAGCCATAATTAACCCTTTCAGGATGGGCGTCCCATATACGCATTCCCTAAGAATGTCTCTTACAGCCGGGCGTCCCATCCACGCATCGCTAGAGATTGCATTCAGAGGACTGGTGATGCGTATGCGCATTTTAAGCTGAAATGTTTTCTGCAGGCCACTAGATGGCATACTATGTCCATTAATTTTGAAATGAACACAGTTTTAAGTTCCTGACCTTGAGTTTGATATATTCTGTTTGACTTAAATTAAATGGTATTTTACTCATCAGCTCTTGCGAGAGGGGGGGAGGAAAAACGTAAACAGAGATGAGCTCTTTAAATCGCTGTGTGCTAATGAAAACATTCGCGTGTCAGATTTATATCCAATTCCTTTTTTTATTCTATTTTTTCCTTTACCATATATAGTCTTTTAGGGTTAGTATGTGGAGTATTGTTATGTTTTGCATTGCCCTTCAGATATATTTCCGTTTCTGCTCTTTTTTTTTCGGAAAGCCTCACCTCCAGTCTATTATAGCAGAAAGGCGCTTATTTATCAGAGGAAGAATACCCTTGTATGGTCAGTGAACCATTTATTAACGCAGATTCATTTTCTAAAGAGTTAGAAAGTGATACTTCTCCGTACTTCGAGATTTACCACAGTCTTCATATTAAACTTTATTACTTTTTACTGTAAATAGTCTTTATTGTGTTGTTTTATTAATTTAAAACTTTACTGATGGATTTTATCAATTAAAACTTTGGAATAAATTGAATAGCGCTTCCAAAAATTATTTTGCAAGACAAGAAATTTTTTAAGTATATTTTCATGTAAAATAAAGAAAAAAACGTTATTAAGTGCTAAACATATTGTTACGAATTTGGTATTTAAAAAGCTAATGTTAGTTGAATTAAATTAAATGGTTTTATTTCTCGCGCAGTGCAGCGCGTGACAAATATTAAAAGAAAGCTAAGCCGGAAAATTGAAAATACAAGAGCGTGTGCATTAAATAAATAAATATCTCTTTTTGATTTCGAGAAAGTACTGGAAAATTCTAGCGCATGATTTTAAAATCTTATAAAAGGAGGAAAACATCTCAGTTTGTTGTAGTTGCTTATTTTGTTGTTGTTTAGAAAACTGCTCTTGTTGATTGTAGCGAATTCGCGGATTAGCTTTCTTTAGCTGTTTTGAATTATGTTCTATTGGACATTTGAGTAGTTAAAAGATAACTACTGTGAGATATTGTAATACTGCATGATAATTTGAGAAGATTTAAGCATTTTTGTTGTGATAATAATAAATTTTTGTTCATTTTTCATCGGACTTGTGCATTCATTTCGTAACGAACCCGTACGCATGCAACAATTTTTGGTGGCAGCGGTGGGATTTGAATGCCAATCACAAGAGCAATGGAAGAGCAGTTAAGACAGTTGATATCAGCCTTTGCTGCATTTAAAGAGGAAATGAAAACGGGCCAGCAGGAAATGAAAGCGGGACAAGAAGAAATGAAAGATGATATGAAATCTGGTCAGGAAAAGATGGAAGAATCCGTTAAAAAGGAAATGGAATCTATTAAAAAGGAAATGGAAACCGTTCACGAAAAGTTGGAAGCTGGTCAAGTAACTTTTAAGGAAGATATAAAAGCTGTACAAGAAAACATTGAAGCAGGTCAAGACGAAATGAAAAGAGAAATAACCTGCGTAATAGAAAGTAAATTTGAGGCTGTGGAAGACAGAATAGGAGCTGTAGAAAATAAAGTTGGGCAAATTGAAGAAAAGGTTTCTTCTGTCAAAGATGAAATAGAAGATAAGAGTGTCGGCTGTGGAGCAACGAGTCGAAGGAAAAGTTTCGGCCGTCCAACAACAAATTGAAGAGAGAGTTTCTGCAGTTGAGAAAGAAATGGAAACTTTAAAAAAATTCGTAGCGACGGCAGGGAGCAAGAGTGATGATTTTAAATTCTTACCGATGCCTGCTCGTCCATCTCTGAAGCTATCCACATATGATGGGAAGACATCCTGGCAAGTGTATAAGACCCAGTTTTCTATCGTTGCGGATGCGAATGGATGGGACTCCCAAGCTAAGGCCTGTCATCTCTCCACTTCTCTGAGAGCAGATGCAGCGGATATCCTGCAGACGCTTCCCAAAAATCAAAGGCTAGATTTCGAAGCTCTGTCCGGTGCCTTGGAGCTGCGCTTCGGTGAGAAATGTTTAAAAGACTACAGCAGGCTTCAATTAAAATCCTGTCAACAGAAGCCCACCGAATCACTCCAGGAACTCGCCACGGATGTTGAAAGGCTGTCCCACCTCGCCTTTACGGAGTGCCCGAGAGAAACGAGGGAAATTCTGCAATATTTCATCGATGGCATCTGGGACCCTGAAATACAGAAAGCACTGCGAATGGCGGATGTTAAAGATTTGAAAAGCGCTCTGTTGTATGCCATGAAGTTCGAGGCAGCCCAGGAAGCAACTAATAGAGATCGCTACCCAGTTAGAGCTGTGCGAGTCCATGAGCCAGTGGATCAACTGATGGCTCGTTTAGATGATTTAGCCAGACAAGTGGACGCTTTGATACGGAGTAGGAGCGAGAAGAAAGTGGCTCTAAGGTGTTGGAGATGTGGTAGTGAAGGTCACCTAACGGAATTGCAGAACACCCCAGGGTACAGAATATAAAGCAGATGATTTTACCAGACAAGTCAGTGGCTTGAGACGGAACAGAAATGAAAAGAAAGTAGTTCTAAAGTGATGGAACTGCGGAGTTGAAGGCCACATACCAAGAAACTGCAGAACACCCCGAGGTACGGAAAATAAGACCATTTCCCAGCAACGACGCAGTAAACAAATTAGTGACCATATCGAGGAACAGAGGTTGCCAGATAATGGAAAACCTTGTTTTAAAGCGCTTAAAATTTGAACAGTGAGTGGCAACAGTAACGAACTGTCCATTAATGGGAATATCGATGAAGTTCCTTGCAATATGATCATTGACACAGGAGCTAATGTTACCATCATTAGGAAAGATTCGCTGAACAGTTTAAAGATAAACTTATTTGGACGCCATCCTGTGTTACCCTTCAGACTGCGTCTGGTGATAAGATCGACATAACTGGGAAGTTAAACGTAAGCATCACGTTTGGAAGTGCCGCCTACCATCCAACACGGCATATGTGGCGGATATCACAGATCCATGCATACTCGGATTGGACTTTTTAAGGAAATACAATTTTTTCCTTAGACTTGAAAAACAATAAACTGCTTTTCAGCATCTGATGGCCATGACTATCCATCCTCAAAAGGGATCCTCGCCTGGAAATGTCGACGCCTTGTCCGAAAGATCCAGCTCGGGAAGCTGCCGAAATCATACTAGGGTCGAAAAGAAACGCAAAACTACCAGCTCTTCTCTAGCCCAGATGCTCTTCGGTCGAGACCTTCGTCTGCCTTGTGACCGCCTGTTTGATCGCTGTACAGATGCGTCTTCATCGCCTGAGGAACACATCCAAGATGTCCAGGCCCGTTTTGAAGTGATCCACCGTTCCGTACGAAAGCGAGTGAACTTGGTCACGGAGAAAGTGAAGACCAGATACAACACAAGAGCTACTGGACATAGATTCCAACAAGGAGACAAGGTTTGGTTGTGGAATCCGACTTCAACGAAAAGGACTTTGTCCGAAATTACAGTCACCTTGGATGGTCCCGTACACACAGTCCTAAACAGGCTGAATGACGTCGTGGTTCGGATTCCGTAAGTCTTTTCGAACTCTAAACCTAAAGTCGTTCATTACGACAGGTTAGCTCATTACTATGGCCATAGTACGTAATGTAAATAATTGTAAATATAAGCAAGACCATGGTCCTTTTTTGTTTTTAAATGTGTATTTGATTTGATTTGTATTTAGTATTTGATTTGCATTTAGTATTTGATTTGTATTTGATAGCATTTGATTTGTTTTATTTATTGCATTTATTGTTCATGTTGTTTATTATTGTAATGTAATGCTTATTAATGCATTTATGCCACAGTTGTAAGTTTAGCTTCCTGTCCAGGGATTGTACTGCCCGGGACGTGCAGTCCTTGGGAAGGGGGCAGTGTTACGAATTTGGTATTTAAAAAGCTAATGTTAGTTCAATTAAAATTAAAATGGTTTTATTTTCTCGCGCAGTGCAGCGCGTGACGAATATTAAAAGAAAGCTAAGCCAGGAAAATTGAAAATACAAGAGCGCGTGCATTAAATAAATAATATCTCTTTTTGATTTCGAGAAAGTACTGGAAAATTCTAGCGCGTGATTTTAAAATCTTATAAAAGGAGGAAAACATCTCAGTTCGTAGTAGTTGCTTAGTTTGTTTGTTGTTTAGAAAACTGCTCTTGTTGATTGTAGCGAATTCGCGGATTAGCTTTCTTTAGCTGTTTTGAATTATGTTCTATTGGACATTTGAGTAGTTAAAAGATAACTACTGTGAGATATTGTAATACTGCATGATAATTTGAGAAGATTTAAGCATTTTTGTTGTGATAATAATAAATGTTTGTTCATTTTTCATCGGACTTGTGCATTCATTTCGTAACGAACCCATACGCACGCAACAATATATAAGAGCTCAAGTAATCATCTAAAAGAATACAAAAAATTACTATGCTAGAAGCAAAGCTTTTTTTTTTCCTGATCTTTTTTTATAAAATTAGGCTTAGCGATGCAAAACCTCCCTCCTGTACGGTGACTGCCTTCGATTCCCTTCCGTCCCGCACGAGCGTTTTAAACAAAGGTGTGCCGTCGTGAAAAGATTAAGAGAAAATATGTTTTAAAGTGTCTTGTAAACAACGGATCAGTAATAACGAATCAACTTAATATTTTGTTTTAGACCTATCTGAATGGGTATCTCATAAACACATTCACTGTGAAAGTCTCTCACAGTTGGGCATCCCAACCCTGCATCACTAGAGAATGAGCGTGAGGGATGGGTGATACATATAAGCATTTTAAGCTGAAACATTTTTTAAAGACCACCAAATTGCATCCTGTGTCCATTACTTTTGAACTGAATGTAATTTTAGGGTCCTGATCTTCAGTTGATAACATTTTGCATAATGTTGGTGTCAGCTGTTGTGGGTGAGGAGGTAAACAAACAGATCTTTGCTCTTTAACTCGAATGCGATATAAATATTTACTTTCCTGATTTCTCTTCAAATATTTTTTTTCATTCTTTTCTCACAACTATGTAGTGTCTTTTAGGGTTATTATGTCGGGTTCTGTTATGCCTTGCATTGTTTTTATCTCTTATATTTCGAGTACTTCCCTTTTCATTTCTGAAAGCCTTAACTTCAATTTATTATGGTGAGCAAGTGTTATTTATAAGATATACTTGCATGATAAATGAGCCAATCAGTGACACAGCTGAGAATGATGATTTATTTTCTAAAGAGTTAGAAAGCAATATTTCTAGCAATTATGATAGAAGCATTTTGTCAGAGACTGAGAGCTCACCAAGTGGCTGCCTTCCACTTTTAGTGAAAGATTTTGTTACTACTTCTTGCAAACAGTCTTTTTTGTATTTGTTTATTACTTTGAAAGTTTATTCATATATTTTGTCCATTAAAATTTCAGAATAATTTGAATAGAGCTTTCCAAAATTGTTTTTTAAAGTAAGCATTTTTTTTTATATATTTTCATGTAAAATAAAGGGAAAATGTTAATTTTAACATATATGATAGCTCAAGTAATAATCTAAAACAGAACCAAAAATTAGTAAGGACTTTTTTATTATTATTATTTTTGTTTCCTAAAGTTAGGCTTAGCGACACAAAGCCCCTGCCCTGAGGGATAATTACTTTCGGCTCCGATTCATTCCAAGGGAACATCTTGAACAAAAGTGTGCTGTCTCAAAAGGGTTAACTCACCAAAAAAGTGCTAAGCAGACACCATTATAACCAATTTATGGTGATGCTGAAGAAAAAGGCTTACAAGTGATTCAAATGATGGCTTGCATGCGAAAAACATGTCAATCAAGAACCAACATAAAAATAAATTGGCTTTTTTTTTTTTAAACTATCACAGAATAAGGCAGGTTGAGTTTTTATTCATGATGATGTACTCTGAATAATACAAAAGATTACCACAGCACTTAAAAAATACTGTGTGAAAAATACAGTTTGAAAAATCAGTAAATAGTTTCATCCTCCATCACAACAATGGTTTTGTATCAGGCACTACTTCTGGCATAGCTATTTCAGTCAAAAACATTGCAGTATGCCCTCAGTTACTTTATTCACTAGATTTGGCAGTATGAAAATTCCTCTTTCTCAAAGTTTAGATGACTAGAAAAAGCAAACATTTTAAACTAATTTAGTATACTGATGCAGTCATGACATGTTTAAAAATACTTACAAAAGCAAGACTTCCAGAATTGCTTCAAAAAGTGACAAGAGCAATGTTCAATTCCACACGGAATGTATTTTGATGGGAATTAAAGATAGCGTATTTTTTTATTATAACTTTTTAAAATTATTTAAAATTTAACTATAATTCTGTTCATATAATGCATACATACATAACTGCCATGATTAAACTACTTCATACAGAAGTCATTCATTATATCCATATTTTAAAGATCATCCTGTCCATATTTTAAAGATCATCTGCCATATTTGAAAAAGCACCATTAAGAACTTCTGGTTACTACACAGATGATCAAACATAGCTTCCAAATTTAATGTCTTAATCAATGGAATAACATGAAAGGATTTTTATTTATAAAAATTGCAACCAAGACCAAACCTTCATCCAAGTAGAATTCGTTGGATCAAGACGACTGTTCATGGTTACACTATCTTCTAGATGAGGGGACATATCTCCACAAAGCAGAAGAACATGACACCTATTAAAAACAAAACATAAATTTAAAAAAATATTTATGCACTGCATTACACTTTTTAACATTATACCATGAAAAAGTAACAAAAGTTAATACAAACAAATCAAATGAAAAGTTAAAACCATACTTAAAATTTTTTGCCTCTTTTTTCTTTAATGGATCCATTTCACGGACAATGCCCAAATCTGTACGCCTAGAATGGAAATGAAAGTTACAAGTCTGTATGTTTAGAGAGCTTCTTAAATCAGCATTTACTACAATGCATATTAATCCAGAAAAAAATATCAAAATTACACCATAAAAAAATAATACTGATATCTTACAAAGTACTTTATATAAAACACATAGTATCTACTGTACGAGAAATATATAATTTTATACTGTATAAAAAATTCATAATCTGATTTCTACGCAAAATTTATTTCTCAAAGCAACATACTATATTGCACAAAAGTATTATATTTTTTACCTGCTGTACAAACATTACATACTGTACAAAAAATAGCCACAACCAGGTTTTTCATGCAGTTTAAGATCAAAATTATCATTAATTTAAATGACAAATTATACTGTTCTCAATCCTTGGATACTTCTTCAACTAAATAGTAGCATATTATAAAGTAAGTTATTATTTAATAACTAAACAAAAGTCAGAAACATGTTTTATTAATCATAACAATACTACAAATATTCAGAATTATTAATTGGATCTATTATAAATTACACAAATTTTTAAATACTAATTAGATAGATAATAAAGAAAAAAATAAAAAGTTTCAATTGTTTAGAATTCACGTTTATTACTTTTCAAATAGCTCAAAGCATTAAGCAAGTCATAATCTCTACGTATAATAAAAGAAAGAGTCTGTCTGTGTGTGTGTCTTTCGTTCGTGTTGTGCGTAAGCTAATAGACCCAGGGCTATGAAATTTGGTACATAGGTGCATTTAGACAAGTGCCACTGCACCTCGAAGCGATTTTTCCAAAATTTGAATCAGATTTTTTTTTTTAAATCTTTTTTGATGAAATAGCATCACTTTAAATAGTTTCATTCTTTTAGAAATGTGGTTTTGGCAACAGTTTTTCATTCAAGGCTTTGTTTACTGGACTGCTAACTGTTGAAAATATGAGATACAATATTATTAATTATACACGCAACATGAACATTCCAATCTTCTTATTCTGACGCGCATGTGTATCGTGAGGCATAACAGAAAGAATTTCATTTTTTCTCTCTCTCTCTCTCTTTATTAGCTAATAGCAAAGAGGTTTTTATATTTTGGACGATGTCATCCACAAAGCACAATTTTGATTGGTTATTGCTTTCTGATGATAGTTTCAATCTTTTAGAAATGTGGTTTTAGCATCAGTTTTTATTCACTGCTTTGGATACTGGACTGCTTACTGTTTTCTCTTGAAAATATGAGATTTATTGTTTATGTCATTGTATTTTTTTATATTATGTTTTAATTATATATAATTTTAATTAGATAAAAAGTTTTGTATGATTTTATTTTAAGAAACAAAGTTCTTAATTTCTTTTATAACATTTCAATTCTTAAGATTTTGCAACGGGAAGTTGGTTAATTTATTTATTAGGATAATTAATATTTGTGTTAAGGGATATTGCTTATTTCATTGTAATTTTTTTATATATAATACATTTTTATTGAAATTTCTATTTTTTCCTTTCTTTCTGTCTTTTTTCTTTTTTTATATATAAAGTAGTTCTGCAGAGTAAAATTCTGTGCATTCTTTTAAATTTAATGTTTAGTGTTCCATTTAAGCACTTTCCTGGTACATTTAAAAGCCAGAGGAAGGCTGGCCGCGTAGTGGCTAGTTTAAAGGTAAACTAAAGAGCTTATGTTATAACAAATAGCAGTATTTACAGACCCGACTATTTGTGAGGCCATATACAAGTTAAATTCAAAATCTTACATTTTGCATAATGGCAAAACTTATGTGGCTCAATAAATGATATGATAAACCAGCATAATCATAATGATCCAAAAATTTTTCACTCACAAAAGTATTTTTTTCTAACATTAAAACAACTCGATAGTTTCAAGAACTAAATTTTTACTTGAAATAAACTTACAACGAATGGAACATAATAACCTTCTACTAAAGCCAAAAATTAAAAATAGTTTGTTAATTCTCTCCAATAAAATCAGAAATATATAAGTTAAAACTAAATATAAATTTCAGACTTATGTGCTAAGAAATAGATTTTACTATATAATCTAGATATGGCAGCTGAACCAAAATTAAAAAAAAATTATACATACATACAAGATACATTCATATTTCACCTAAGTGTTCATATTGCTGTGTACTATGAGTCGACAGAAATCTTAAATAATAGGGTCAGATGAACACAGAAAACTTTAAACGTTATTCCAACTTTGCATGAATCTTACTAAGAAGATAAACAACTAGAGATAGCTTAGAACACTGAAATCAATGTTTGTACATATTTCTGCGCATGAAAATTAAGTCTTTTAAGGACATCAAAGAAAAAAAAAATTGACATATTAACAAAAGTGAATTGAATAAATTTAAGCACTTATCGATGCCTGAACTTTTGTGATAAATGGTAATTTTACAAGATGTTGAAACTAGGGGTCTGAATAATCAGAAAGTACCAAATAGATTTGAAAGTAGGATGCATTATTATTAAACATAATTTAATACACTCTTTAACACACTGCATATATTAAGAAGAATTTTGGAGTGAAAATTTTAAAAATTTAGGACTTTGAGATTTCACCAAGCAGCAAAATGCAAAGTGCCAAGACCTATGGTACACTCATACATATAAGAAAAATCTTTTAAATTTTCAATTTTTAATTTCTCTAGTAATATGGTACACTCATACATATAAGAAAAATCTTTTAAATTTTCAATTTTTAATTTCTCTAGTAACAGAAAAATTCTTTTCCATAAATAACTGTCAAGTGACAAGATTAGAAAAATTTTTACAATTTTCCATACTTATATACTTATGCACAGTGTAAAGTGAAAATAAAGGAAAGATAAACAAACCTATTAAGAGAAAGCCTTCTAGGATCAAAAATAAAAAAATACAAATAACTTCATTTTCACCATCCTTCAAAACATTCTCCAAAAAATAAGAAATTCATCGCTAAATTCCTGTAACACATGCCCATTATGTGTTAATAACATAGACATTTATTTTGTCACATTTTTCTGAAATCCGGAATAACAGGTTTATAAATGTTGCTTTGAAATCCTTATACACTTTCTGAGATGCAAAGTCTAAAATAAAAACTAAAAAAAAAAAAAAAAAAAAAAACTAACCAACTCTGGAAAAGAGAGGGGGTGAATTCAGGAAAGAAAAGTGCAAAATTAATTTTACAGAGAAAAACTATACACATTTGAATATTATGAAACTATTACATGGGAAAAATTTTTTCTTACATATTAACAGAACCACCATGGTGCAATCTGGCAATTTTTTACACATGAAAAGATAAAAGCTACTTATTAACAGATGAAAGGTACAAACTGGTGGTTTTTGTGACATTTTTTTTAGAAAGGTTCTTAAACTAACAATATTTATCGTAAGTTGTTAAACATTATCAACATATGAAAAGAAAATATACTTCAACAATTTAAATACAAATTTGAATTATTAAATACAGATTGCTTGATATGTTAAAAATAAAACATTTACATTTTTCCTTTAAATATTTCCGAAATTTTTCTGTGCTATTGTTCTCCCAAAATAGCAATCTGTTTTCGCTTACAAGAAAATCAGAGAATTGTGAAGACTCAGCTTCCTCCAACCCTTGGCAACTAAGTTTACAGCAAAAAATATCACGATTTGTTTATAAAAACCGTTGGAACTTGGAATACAATGAAAACAAACACATTCAAAAATGCCGGTATTGCTTGACTGAAAGACTGTTATGAGCATGCATACTTGCCAACCTATGACACTCAAAAATCAGGAGATTTTTTTAAGAAATCAGGAGATTTTTCACAATGTTAAAAAGACTTTTTAAATGATAAAAATATAGTTTTTAATAATGAATTAACTTTAAATAGTTACTAAGTCTTAAATGCAAGCAAAACAAAAATACCTTAGACATAAAAAACATTTTTATTACTTTCATCGTTTAAAAAAAAAAAAAAAAAAAAAAAGGCACTTTAATCAGTTTTCATACAAATGTTATGGACAGTGGCAGATTTTGCTCTCGTTAAGAAAGAAACTTCATAATTTTTGTTCATAGCAATTGCCACGTAGGCCTGCTTTCGCTAATAAAAAAGTTTTTCTAATGTGTCATCACTAACATTAGATCTAAATTTAGTCCTCGTTTTCGCAACAACACTGAAAATCCTCTCACACTCTGCATTACTATGGGGAACTGTCAAGATGGCCAACATAATTCTAGAGAGTTCACTATATTTTAAAATTCCATCAGCACCTTTCAATTTTCCAATTAACCTCCACTGGGTGTCAATCCTAGCTGATTTTATAACTTTCATCCAAGTTTTTCTAATTGTAAACTGCAAAATTGCGACTGCAGTATATCAGTAGCAACATCAATATCATCATCTTTCATGACTAAACGAAGTAACACAGGAAATCTGTTCAAAAAGTACCTTATATCAAAAAAAGATGCATTTGCTAGAGCAGAAACATCAGCAACTTTAGCATGCAAAATCACTTCATCGTTGACTGGAAATTTATGTAGTGTGTAATCACATACTTGACAGAAGTAATTTCTAACATGAAGATAAAACTTATTTTTGTCTTAAGTTCTTTCACTACTTTTGTAGCTGCAGCTCCTATTACCAAATCTTCATCTTCCTTCTCATTTTCTGTTTCACCATAAATCACATCATATATAGAATTACAAGACAAAACACAGACTGGTTTTACAAACTTTGATAAAATGTCTTTAAACAGATCATAAATCATTGATTGCAAAACATGAATTAATGGAATTCTGCTTTGTAGAATTGTGTTCAGAACATCGAATGATGGCAAAATGAATTGTAAAAAAAAAAGCAAAAAGCTTTGTTAAGGTCCGAAGAAAAAAACATAAATATTCGTTCTTCACAAGATAAACTTACAGTAATCGGAAAATGTTTCGTGTGTTGAGCAATTTTTTTTTTTTATTATTTTGAGAGAAATTTGTATCAGCTTTACGCTTATATTTTGCAGTATTATTTTGAGAACTGCCAGTTGAATTGCTGAATGATGCAGAAATTACAAAAAATCAAAATTTTTCTCATTTCAGTATTATGCAGCTGTTGGAACTGTTTCAATTTTTCCTTTCTTTTAGAACTCCTTTCAAGATAATAATAAATATCAACAATGTGTTCATCCACATTTAATGGTAAAGAAGCTGCCCCTTTTTCAGCTGCTAAATTTAAGAGGCGACAGGTGCACCTCATAATCTGCAAATCTGAATTTGCCTTTCTTAAGATGCCTGCAACACCAGTCTTCAAGCCTACCATTACTCGTGCATTATCGGCACCAAGCGCTAAGCAATTATCCAGAGGGACTGCATTTTATTTTAAAGTTTTAATAATTAGCTGTGCTATATTAAAGCCTGCCGAATGTCCTTCTAAAGTGGGGTCAGAAAGTAAACTGCACTCAATTTCTGAAGACTCTGGATTAAAAAAAGAAACAACAATTGGATACAGTTTTGAATTGGTATTATTGCTTCCATCCGTAGAGAGGCAGAACGGAGCTGTTTTAATGCAATCAATAACTAAAGATTTATTTTTCAAACCCATTTCTTTAACAATTGGCACCGTTTTTGGTCCTTGCACTTGAGTATTTCTTAGCGATTTCACTATCAGGAAACATTTTTTCTAAATAAAGCTGCAGCGTGATCCGATGCATTCAGTGGCAGGTTGTGCTCCAGTAAAAAGGCAGAGAACAGACATTCTGCATTAATCACTTTTTGGTCTTTTGTTTCCGAAGAAAAATTTAATTTTTTGTTTTTTCAAAACAACTCATGTTGTCCTTGTGTTTTTGTGTACGCACATGTTTGAGAACATCTGCCCTTCCACCAAGCGAAATCGAAAAATCGTAACGACAGATGGTACACATCGCAAATTTATTACATTTCCTTGAAGAAATAATGGAAGGAAAGTCAACTATGTACGATTTTTGAAACGTGCACGAGTATTTCACCTTTCTCGCAGACATATCAAAAGACGATAATTTCTAAAACTATTTCCTAAAGGCACGTGTACTCACACAACTCAGGACAAGATGAACGAAATAGCGAAAGAACATCCAAAGAACGGCCAACGGCCTTGAGCTTGCTTTGTGCTCATTGGCTAATATATGCCAGATGACACGCAGTGGAGCTCGATGCCCATTGGAGAACGACGTTTCTGGATACGTATGCTGTCAATCACAAAGCAGAAATTCTCATCTGATTCGCAAGGTTTCATTTTAGATATAATCTAAAGAAAATTCAGTTGCTTTCAGACGTCCAAAATCCCTTTTTTTTTGTTCATAAAACGAAGTATTAAGCCAAGTTCCATAAAAATCGTGAGAAATATTAAGAATAAGAAAAAGTCGGGAGAAATATATTGTAAATCGGGTTGGCGGGAGAGCGGTCTAAAATCTGGAGTCTCCCGCCTAAATCGGGAGAGTTGGCAACTCTGAGCATGGTTTGCTGGAAAACAGTTATGCCACTTTTGGCATATTCGGAAAATTTGGCGACTTCTACTATGGTGGTTGCATTAATACATAAGTACCAAAGACTATTATGAAAAAATATAAAAGAAAAATAAATTTAATTTTAAGATAATTGCAGTAACTTTTTTGTTTTTGCTAAGTGTTTCAGAACCTGTGCTTTTATAACATTTATTATTACTGTTTATTTTCAGAATCCAAATATTAATAAATCACTAAAATGGAAAGTAATATCACTTTAAAAATATGGCAGAAGACAATAAAAATATTTCATACTTCTAATTTCAACATATTATCATTATTTTAATGATATTTATCAATGTTATTATGTTAGTACAACACACACAAAAAAATGTTGAAAAATTCAAAAATTATAAATCAAAATTTTGTATGCAAATTATTTAAAATTGCCTTATGTTGATCAGTTGTTAGATTTAACACACACACACACCACACACACACACACACACACACAAAAAAAAAAAATAAATAAAATAAAATAAATAAAAAAATAAAAATAAAAATAAAAAATAAAAAAAAAAAAATCATATCCTCACATGGGAAAAGTTGTTTTTGAGGTAATGTTTTATGAATTCTTCATGAAGAAAAAGAAAAAATTCCTAAATATATTAGAAGTAAATTCTAAATATATATCTAAATATATAAATTTCTAAAATATAAATTTCTAAAAATATATATATATAGAGATCATATTAGAAGTAGGAATGTATTCAAATGGCAACCAATCAAATACATATTTGTCAATAAATTATCAAAAAAAATCTAAAATGTGAATTCACACTCAAAACGGCAGTTGTAAAAAACAGATCAAAACGTTGGATTAGTAAAATTGTCAAAATTAATGACTTTTAAGAATAAAAAGTCATTTCTGAAAAAACTTAAGGGCATTTAAGGATTGTAAGGACACTGTGAAATTTCTCCTTAAAATGTGAGGAATATTTCTTATTAAAATATTCAAATAGCAAAATCTAAAGTGAAATCATACAGTAGAAAATTCACAAACATAAGAAGAATTTGAATTCTACAGATTAGTAAGAGAAAAAGGAAAGGTTTAACAAAGAGTACATAACAAATAAACAAAATTTTAAATATATTTAAAAAGGAAAATTTTAAACTGACAAGTATACAGAAAATATAACAAACAAATAGTGCCAAAGCCAAAAGACTTACTTTATAAATGAATCAATAAACAGAGAGAGATTATATGCATTGACTGAAGTACTAAAATATTGTCGATATACTTGGATCAGATCATGGCTTCTTTCTTCTATTTGCTATAAGGATAAAAACTGAAATGAACTTTTATGACACTTTTATAAACATCACCAACTAGTAAAAAACAAATTATTAATACCCGTCCAAAATGATGCCACATTAAATAATCCAGTGTTGAGGCAGTCATTCCAGCTGAACGTAAATGCATAGCATTTAACTTTTGATAGCCCCATTCAGTCCAGCTAGATACTGTACAAGTAGGATTTATGAGAAACAATCCATCCACACAATCTGGGTGTGCCAACTGAGAAAAAAATCTGAAGTTAATTTATAATGCACGGCAAATGCTGGGTCACTCATATAAACCTAACATTAAGAAGCTTTATTACATCCCCCCTAAAAAAATAAACCATTTAAACAATTTTTACTGCAAAATGAAAGTTCAACATTTCTGTCATGTAATTAGTACATTTTAGTAAATGCTCTTTTAAAATTAAAATATAAATAAAATAGGTTTACATGTTCAAATATCACTGAGGCCAGGCCTTTCACAAATGGCCCATCTTTTATCATTATCTTCATCTGGAGTCCTAAGTGAAGGACTTGGATAAAGTTTCCCCTCCTTTTCTCACAAGGTTGCTGTATTTTTCAGAATTAGTATCCAGATGTATGGAAGATTAAAATAAAAGTTTCTATCGCAAAATGGGATATTACATCTGGATATCAATTTTAAAAGTACAAACTATTTCAATTTTATTTTAAGATTTAATTCTAACTACATGTGTCTTCTGATTCTTCAGCATAAGCTCTGTTGATTACCCTGCAGAAATTAAAGCATTGTTCTATTCATCCAACTATGCTGGCTCATTACTAGATTATTAACAGCAATGGCAACAAGTCATAGTTTTGCAACAGGTCACCATGCCTCATAAAAACTGGGCAAAAAGTTATATAGAACAATTTCAAGATTTAAATTCTGTGTATCACAACACACACTTAGCTTTTTGTTGCATGATTGCTATTTTCATGCAAACTGGCTGGTTATGGTATACTGCAAAATTACTTAAAGCGAAGCTTCTGTGAATATTGAGATCATCAAGCCCTGTCCAACTATTTCAGTACAATGGCTAAGAAGACCAACTTATGATAAAGCTTAATTTGGCAATAAAAAATCAAGTTTATATTTTTTGATAACCCTGCATAACATATAAGAGTCATTTAAGAAATATTACATTATACAAGAAAGGCTACGAGAGATACAACAAACACGAGAACTACCCAAATAATAATTTGGTAACCGTGTAGTATGCTATTCACCACTTAAAGTTATTTATTTATTTTTAGATGGTGACACTAAAACTGATTGTTGTTTTAATCACTTCTTTTTCCTGCCATTTTATTGCACTTTTGAATTTAAAAATAGCATTTATATGGCACCATCTAAGAAATAAATAACTAAATGTATTCACTTCAAAAACTTGTTCTTTCTGACACTTAAACAAATGAATCACAAATCTTATAGGAAAAGTAATCAAACAATGAAAATACTTGCAGAAAATAATACAGAATGCCATTTAAAATGGGGGAAAAAAGAAAATATCTAGCATTATTTTCATGATTAAGATAAAAAAAAAAATGAAGAAACTAATTTCAAACAAAACATTTTGAAGTCAGGGGAAAATGAGGAATTAGAATTCAAATCATTAACCATGATTTTTATAGATACAGAAAATTTATTTAGTCAACCACAGAAGAGATTTAAAGGAAATTGTTGGGTAAATTTGACAAAGAAACTCTAAATACATGTTAAAAAGACTAACAATGCTGAAACAATGTACATTGGATAATTTAGTAGTTACAATTTTAGAAGAAAAATACAGTCTACATATAGGAAGAACTAGAATATAAATTGTTAAAATCATTTTGTCAATATCTGTTAGGCATGAATAAAAAACATATTAAAATTTATTGTCTACTGGATATATTTCAAATTTCTACTAATTTCTACTTATGGTACTAAAATGTATACTTTGCAAATTATTTAATGAATAATCGAAACATTTTTTTAAAGTAACTAAAAACCTCCGTATACCGCAAATCGAGCAAGAATATTAGCACCAGCTCCAACACCCAATCCAACAAAGTGTTTTAAGCTGAAAAATAAAAATTTAAATGAGCTTAATAAAAAATATCAAAGAATTCAATATATGAAAATATTCATAAATTTTTCTGTACCAATACTAACAATAAATTGATAGTTTTAAAAATATTCGAGGTGGGACAGAAAAAAGACATGATAAAAATATAAACTTACCCATAAAATTTCATTACAGGAATTAAAGTCTCAGCTAGTTGATCCATTGTGGGATATATAAAACTTTAAAAAAGAAAAGAAAGAAAAATGAGTTTTAAGCATTTTTCCTCCCCCCTAGCAGTATAGCTGTTATTTTGCATGGGGTGGATACTATTTTTAAAAAATACATAAATTACTGGATAAGTTTACAGAAAAATGAATGAATTTATGAAAAAGGAGAAGGAGTTCTAATATATGTAAAGATACTTTTTCATGAAGTGAATGAAATACAGAGACTGTTCACATACTTTTTAGACAATATTCATTGTATTTAGAGAAATGTTTTACCTAAAATTTTTGTGTTTTAAATGTTCTTTTTGGTAACCATTATTCTTCCCTATCTTTCTAGAATGCAATTTCCAAGACAAAGGCCTTTTGTGGTATCGGAAAAGGTATTTTATCCCATTCCTCCAGAACAGCTTTCCAAATTATGCATAAAATATGTTCCTGATAATGTGTGAAGTTGATCTTAATATATTTCTATACTCTTTTTATTTATGATTTGCCATTATATGAAAAATCAGCAACAATCACAAATCCCTTTGAAAACTTTCTTTGGATTCTTTGAACCAAGTTCTAAGATTTTTTCTTCTCTTTGATGATAAGAAATCAAAATGTTTTTATTGCAGTAATTTAAATGCACCACAGAATCATTTATTGTGAGAAAAGTTTTCCGTTTTTGCCTAAATAAATGTTTTTCACAAAGAATTCTGCACATCATTCTGTGTTCGGCGATGTGTCGTGGAGATAAGACATGCATATTATGTTTTTTTGCCTTTTTAAGATTTAAATCAGCATTAACTGCTTTGTTTAAAGTTTATACTGAGCATTTTAAGGATTTTGCAACTGCACTTGGCAGATTTTCTTTTAATATTTAATATCTTACCTCTGCAACATTTGAAACATTCCTTTTTTTCCTTGGATACATATTTGAAACAATTTTTCCACATGAAGCAAAATTTTGACCTTTTTTCTTTTCCAATTGACAATATTACCTATTGTAGCTTTCACACAGTGTTTTTTAATAACTCGATATGAATAAATTTCTTAGGCACTGAAAAACTGGAAGAGGAAAGTTTCAAACATTTCACAGTTAACCATAAATTTAAGTTTGTCGATCCCAAAACTGGAATGCACATACAAAAAATAATAAGACCTAATGACAAAATGAGAAACACAGAGGAAGGGCATGACATCATCTGGAAAGTTATCTCACAGAACTTATGTGCAGAAGGAAAGCGAAAGACCTATTTGAAAAAATTTAAATGATATTAAAATGTCTATGCCTCCAACGTAAACAATTCTTAGAACTAATATTTAACATTTTTTATGTTTGTACAGTGTGTTATCATCAATAAAATCTGCCTGCGAGATTTGCATCATAAGAAAAATTTTTTATGTGTATACTGTGTGTTAATGTTATTTGTCACTTATATTATTTTAGTTGCAGTAAATAAATATGTTATTAGTGTTTAAATCTGCATCCCATTATTAATGGATATATCCCTAATAACATCAATTATATTTCAGAGACTCAACTGTGCTGCTGTGAGTGCACAAAAGGTAAGCTGAATTTGCTATCTTTATTCTTCATTGATTATTAAGACTAATATCATTTTACGTCCCGAAACTAAAATTTAAATTGAGCAGATAATATATAAACTTTCTGAAACTGCTAAGTAAGAATTAATAATGGCTCAGTCAAGTTTTAAAGATTGTATGCAAATAACGAAACTGAATTCCGAAAATTACGCTACTTGGAAACTCAAGATTCAAATGCTTTTAATGCGTGATGGGTTAGATAATCTTTATTCTCCCCCACCACCTAAACCTGATGATGAATTTTTAAAGAGGGATAAACAAGCACGAGCTATAATAAATATATGCATTGATGACTCTCAGATTATTCCTGTTAGAGATAAAACGACTACCGCCGGTACATGGCAGAAATTAAAATCAGTTCACTAGCGCTCCAATTTGAGCAACAAATTATACCTTCTGAGAAAATTATATTCAGTAAAAATGGAAGAACAATAAGATATGATTGCACACATCACTCATATGATGGACTTAGTCAAAAGACTGAAAGCTATTGGTGAGAACATTCTGGATCAGCATGTAGCCGCACTTTTGTTAGTTCCGATTCTCGAATCATACAATAATTTTATAACTGAAATTGAAGCTAGAGAGGAAACTCTTATAACTATAGATCTTGTCAAAATGAAACTCACTGACGAGCACACTAGAACAGTGGTGCGCAAACGTTTTCGACTGCGACCCCTTTTGTAGAGAGAAATTTTTGGCGACCCCTAGAGATAAATGTTCACAAATACGATGTATATTTCGCGCATTTCTTTCGTTTCGAATAAAAACATCATCATATCTGACTCATATTAATTTTATTTATAATTTTAAGAAAATACTTTTTGTATAACACAAAAATCAGTAAATTGCCCTTTAATGAGACGTATGTGGCTGCAAGTTTCTAATTATCTCATCGATGTTTGGATGTATGTTGCTAATTGCAATTCGCATATCATCTTCAGGGTTTAAACGCGAGCGGTATTTAGTTTTTATTGAAACTAGTTTCCTAAATCCAGTTTCACATAAATACGTTGATGCAAATTGTATTAACACTCTGATGGCATTCTTGCATGAAACGGGATATTGTTTTTCCACGGATAGCCAACATTTTTGGCAAGGCTGAGTTTTAAATTGATTTCGAAGAGTATATCACTAATTAGATCTATCAATTGCTCTTTCTCACTAATTTGAAGAGTTGAACTGCATATGTCAAAGGAAAATGGATCACGAATCCAACCAAGATCGTTTTCAGGAAAATCCTCGAATCTTCTCGAAAAATTTTCCTTTAACTTTTCAATGTGATTGGAAACGATGTTTTTAAATGTAAATATATCTATATTATTTTCCTTGATAAAATCGTTAAAGCAAGGGAACATGTCGGTGTTGTTTTTATTCAGTTCAGTTTGCCAGAGACTAAGCTTATTCTTAAAAGCTTGAATTTTACTGGCTTAAGTTATGATAGTTGAATTCTCACCCTGCAAGCTCAAATTTAAGTCGTTAAGTTTTTCGAAAATATCAACTAAATAGCTCAGCTTCCCTAGCCAAACTTCATTGATATAATAACTTGCCAATCTATGTTTCTTTTCGATTAAAAACATATACACTTCATTTCTCAAATATCCGTCATAGTATTTTCTCACGTGAAAGCCATCTGACTTCAGTGTGTAACAGTAATCTCTCATACGTTGAGCTCATCTCATTGCAAAGTATTGAAAAGAGATGGCTGTTGTGGCTGTTGCATTTAATGTACTTAATTGAACTAACACCGTCTTATTATATGTTGTGCAACTCTTCATCCATATCTTTTGCAACAAGAGCTTGCCGATGAATCATACAGTGATTAAATACCATATGAGGCGCCACCTTCTGAATTAAGCCTCTGAGCCCTTTATTCGAACTTGTTAATGCTGCAGCACCATCAGTGCAAACCGCAAAACAGTTTGCCCAGGTAAGGGACTTTGTTTCAAAATATTCATTTATTACTTCGAATATTTTTCTCCAGTTGTTTTTCCCTTCCAAACTTTTGCAACATAAAAACGTTTCTGTTATATCTTCATTAAAAATAAATTATAAAATAACGTAAATAATTAGTTGTGACATGACATTTTAGTAATATCGGTAGTCTCGTCCAGTTGTAAATCAAATACAGATGAATTTTGCATGCGTTTTATGACTTCTGAGTCGTTATTTCGTGACATTTCAGAAATTCGCCGAAACACGGTATCTCTTGATAATGGTATTGTTTTTAGTTCATTTCCATATTTATTGCCATGCATAATTGATGTCATCTTAGTTGCTGCTGGAAGGATAAGGGATTCTCCAATTGTATGGGGTTTCATTGTTTTTCCTATTAGATAAGAAACTTCTAAAGAAGCTCGTAATGCTTTCTGAGGTATTGTTGTAAATTTCTTTAAATGTGCACTTTGAATTTTCAGATTTTCAGCTCGTCTTTGAAAAAAATCGGCATGTTTATTTTGAAGTTCTTTATGTTTAATTTCCAGGTGCCTTTTTAATTTAGCTGGTTTCATGCTCTCATTTGCTAATTTTTCGTTGCAAATGACACATATCGGGCAAATGACACATAACAAATAATATATAAAATTTTATCATTTTTTTTCGAGAAATTCAATAATATTAACAGAGATCTTTCTCTAATGATAGCACATACCTAATAACAAAGAGTAGCAAAGCCCGATAAAAATATAAAAAATCATAATTACACAACGTCACACGATAAAACTTGAGGATAAACTAAAAAAATTGCAGGCCAACAGCTACATGCTACAACTTCATGCGAACACTTCACGTCTTCACTCTGACTATCAGATACACTGCGTACCTCGCCATCTGATTGGCTGATCACGGAAGCGAATTTTTCCCCTTTCCCTGAGGTTAATGTCTAATCAAATAGGCGCTTTACAGTAAAACTGGCAAATTATCGCGAAGAGGGCGCTATCTACCGGAGTGAAAAACTTGCGTCTTCACACTTTACATACATTACGCATTACGGTCAAAGAAAGAGCGGACAGCATGAAAATGCAATTAAACAGTGAGTGACAGCGCTTCACTCTTTATATGTACACTGTATGGTATGCAGCATGCAGGCATAATGCATTTCATAAAAATTTGGCGACCCCCAAAAAACTTCTGGCGACCCCTAGTTTGCGCACCACTGCACTAGAAGACTAGAACAACAAGCAGATCGAAGTTCTAATTCTTCAACCGCAATAAATGCAAGAAATTATGATAATAATACAGAAAAGAAATTTTGTATCTTTTGTAAATGCACTGGTCATACTCATGAGTGTTGTTATAAATTGCAAAACAAAAATAACAGTTCTTGTCCTGACAACTCAAAATCAGAAAATCGCGTGACCAAACATGTCGGACAATCGAACCGACATTGTATGAACGCAGACAAAGAAAGCTGTGAATCGGCACCAACCCAAAGAATTGTTTATGAAAAGGGTTTAATAATTACTCCATTATATAGCTCAGAACAAAATATAAATAAAAAGATTTTGTGCCTCGTTTCCGGCACAAGCAGTCATCTAATATTAGATAAAAGTTTGTTAAAAGAACTGATATATGAGGATTCTCAAGCAAAAACCATTTTAGCACATGAAAAAATTTTATACTCGCCGGGTTGACCTTGATTTAGAAGATAATGTATATTACAGAAAATTTGACTGAATGATGTTTATTATGTTCCTGATTTAAAGAGCAACTTAATTTCTATTAAGCAAATTGCTAGTAAGGGATATTCTGTTACTTTTGAAAAAGAAAAGTGTCACATCAAAAAGGATAGCCAAAGAATTATGCACGCATATTCTGATGACAATAGTTTATATAAAATTGTTTTAATAAAAATTCCAGAAAACGCTAATTTTGTTATTGAATGTAGAAATAAAAACTATATACAAACATGGCATTCAAGGTTAGCTCACTGAAGTTATGATGCAATCAGACAATTAGTAAGAGAAAACCTAGCAGAAGGAATAAAATTAGATTATTGCACTTATAATGAAAACTGTTTGGAATGCATAAAGAATAAAATGCAGCAAATTCCTTATCCAAAAGCTGCTAGTGTTCGCACAAGAAAAACCACTGGAGCTTATTCATAGTGGCATTTGTGGGCCTATGACTACTCCAAGTATTGGTGGAAACTTTATTTCGTATCATTTATTGATGCCTTTACTAGATATACTGTCATCTATCTGCTCACTAAAAAGAATGAAGTTCTTAGCAAATTAAAGGACTTTGTCGGTATGACAAGAAATAAATTTGGAAGAACAATTCAGACTCTTCGTACCGATAATGGCGGTGAATATACCAGCAAGGAAATGGATGAATTTCTATCAGATAATGGCAACAAACATCAACTAACTGTTCCCTTTTCACCTCCTCAGAACGGTGTGAGCAAAAGAAAAAAAAAATAAAAACTGAGATGATCAGGTGCCTGCTGTCCCAAGGCCGACTTTCATACAATTTTTGGGGTGAAGCTGTCAACACAACAAATTACAAATAGAACCGCCTTCCAACCAGAGCTTGTCATAAGACTCTCTATGAATTAAGGAGCAGAAGAAAACCTAATCTAGCTCATATGAAACAATTTGGTTGCACAGCTTATGCATATGTATGTAAGGAAAACCGTAAAAAATTAGACCAGAAAGCGAATGAAGGCATTTTTGTAGGTTTCGATCAAAGGAGTACAGAATCTACACAGGTGAAAACCGTATAATCATCAGTAGAAGTGTAAAATTTGTCAAAGAACTATCAGCAAATGAAAATACTGAAATTTCTGTCCATCTAATGGTTGCAAACGCAGAAAATGGCGAAAAAAACTGAAGAAAAACACAAAATTGTATTCAAAGAAGAGCCAAGATGATCAGAAAAGAAAACGAAGGGAGTATCACAAGAACATCTAGGATTTTTAACAAACACAACCAAAACCATACCAGAGAATTTTAAAGACTTCCTATTGGCTGTTGACGGATTTTCAATCTGAAAGGAAACAAAGTTGGAACAGTCAACTTACCAGGAACAGCAGAATAAATACTTATCAGTGTTTAAATCTGCATCCTATTATTAATGGATATATCCCTCATAACATCAATTAAGTTTTGCACACTCAATTGCGCTGCTGAGTGCACAATAGGTAAGCTAAATTTTGCTATCTTTATTCTTCATCAACAACTCAGGTTACCATAAATGAAACAACAATTTGGTGATAAATGAAATAACAACTTTGTGATAATATAAGTCCTTCAGTCTACTCTAAACAAATCCCCCCCCCCATTAAACTGGCAAAAGTTCTGGAGAATTTATGCATCTTCTCACCATGAGTTTCTAGACTTTTCTATGGCATTTATTTATTTAGTATTATTAAATAATTTTATTAAATATGTTTCTATCGTGAATCCCTTAGTTCATACTATGAATGCTCAAACTATACCTTTTCTTATGATCCACCTCAAAGCTTCTATGGGCTATGGTTGGGCAATGCTGCACTTAATCAATGACATTGAAAGACTCAACTGTGCAAAGTGCCAAAAAGAAAACAAACAACATCGATTATGCAAGATATCGATGCTTTAGATGAAAAAAAAAAAAATACTATTTACAATAAATTCATTATAACTGAGATGCTTAAAAAATGTCAGTAAATCTAAACTTACAGTGAAATAGTATATAAATCCAAAATATCCTAGATGATGATCCTTGATATTTATTCCTGAATAACTGGAGTAAATTTTTATAAGATCTAAATTTTGTGTAGCAAGTTAAAAATAATTACGTTTACATAATAGGAAAAATTAAGACAGTTTATTTACGAAGTTCAAATTGTTTTAGAAAAGAAGTGATTAACCAGAGGAAAAATCAAGCATAGATCATACATAGATGGTGAATGTTTTTGAAATTTCTAAACAAAATTTATAATTTTTTATAGGAAGCTTGGCAATAAGATCTATTCTCTGCATTTTAAAATATTATTCATTACTTCTTCCATTAGCTCGACAAACAAGAGGTGGGTTATGCCATTTCTCTGAACCCTTTCCCATTCCACTCTCCAGAATTTTCCAGTTGGTAGTTTTAATAATGTTAAAATGTTTACTGATGCTAGTGAATCACTGAAGCCTTTTTCTGATTCAATTTACCCACTGTTTTACAATTAAAAATTTAAAATATTAAGAAGAATTCACTCAGCAAATGTGACCAGAAAATTCTGCAAGTTTTTCTTTTTTCTTTAATATACTTGACAAATATCATTTTCTTTCTATTCTCCTTATTTTAATCTCCTCATAATTCACTATTATTCATTTATAACCTTAAATACAAAATAAATCAATTTCTCCTTTTATTAAGGGGAGGGTTGCAGCATGATGTTTTATGACAAACATGTAATTTTATTAAAATGTGCTATTAATAAACCCATACACTTCCCTTCAGTATTTTTCCTTAATATACAGCAAAAGTTTTAAATTAGATAAATTTATTTTGCTTAAATGATAACTTTCATCACTCATATCTGACTTCTCTAACACAATCACCTCTAAACAATATTGAAAATTGTTTGAAGTAGTAAGTGGTCATCTTAGAAAGGGTTCACTATATATATAAGTATTCCTTACTTTTCAGGTAAATTCGGAGCACCTTCTGACTGCCCTGGGGCATTCACATGATAAATTGAAAAGCTCTGCATTAAAATTCGCATGTCCACAAAATTAAAGAATGCTTGGAAGTTGGATATATCTAAAAAATAAGTATTTCAGTTTTTTTTTTTTTTTTTTTCCTAAGAAAGAGCAGAGGAAATAACATACAGTCAAAAGTCGTTAATTCGGACACCCATAATCCGGAATGAACTATAATACGGACCTCAAAGCTACAAACTTTCTGCGCATGCGTCACGTTGACGCATGCACGTAAGACTTTTACGGCTGCGAATTTGCGTGTGCACAAGCGCGTAATACGTTTACGCTTGCGCGTTTAATGTATAACGGACGGTATAAGCTAAGCTAAAATTATCTAATTCAGTTAATGTTGCAGATTGCGTTGTTCCTTGATCTTCGAATTGGATCAGGCTTATTATTTTTTGCAGACTGTTAGAGCAATTTTATAAAAGTAAGCTTGAACTTTCGATTACGTCAAATAGAATTTCCGAATATGTAAAGGATCTACAAAGCGAAAGTATGTTTAGAAGTCCATTAAACAAAAGTGGAATTGCTGCAAAAAAATGGATAAAGGCATATCCTTCGTTTCAAAAACCATTCCGAAATCTGTTTATCAATTTCACGCTGCTCTGCGGCGCGGGGGGGGGGGACGCCAAAACGCCGCGCCGTGCAATGAATTGAAAGGTAATCTGTCAGCACTATCCTTATCTTCAGGGCAGATGTTTTTATTTTATTTGGCTTATAATTCCTTACTAAATGTAGTATTTCATCTCGATGTACTCCGTCTTTGATATGATTTAAATCAAATTCCTCGTCATTATAATTCGCTTCCGATAAAGTAAAGAGAAAGTATTATCACATAAAACGAAGCAACTTAAACAACTTACATTGAAAGAAATGTTTAATAAAGTAAACAAATAAATATTAAGCTTTTTTTTTTTTTTTTTTTTTTTTTTTGTAAATTTTGATACCCTTTAGATCATAATTGTTCTTTATTTCATAAATTATGGTTTAATATTTTTAATTTTATAATTTCTGCATGCCATCTTACCAGATTTAAACTGATGATCTATAATCCGGAATCGCCGAAGTCCCGACGAGTGCGGATTAATGACTTTTGACTGTATTAACTACAGAGGGATAAAAATTAGGAACTTTTACATTAGGCAGGAATACATGATAAATTGCCAAATGTAGATTATGAACTACCACTGAAAATATTGATAAACCAATAATTAATAGCTAGGTAATCATGTACATAATGAAAGAAAATTATTAAAATAGATTAAATTTATTACAAATTATAATCACGCATTACTTCATATAAAATCTTTGTTATTTAAAAAACACACAAATAAATAAAACTTATTAACATTGCAAAAATATTGATTTATGCAAATCCCATGTTAATTTAAAATAACTTCTAATAAAATTTCTTTAAAGTACCTAATATTAGGTAATTTATCACACTGCTCCAAGCATCACAAAATCATTTTGTGCTGGCTTTGTTAACACCATATGTATCCAAATTCATTTGACAATCAAAATAGTCAAATGAAACAACTTGCCAAAATCCTAAGCAACAACATTAACAGATAATAATAGTTTAAATGAGACAAAGAAAGAAATTAGTACAAAAACTAATTTGCAAAACAAGAAGAAATGGGTTCAATGGTGTTATGAATAAATAATTTTAAAAAAATTTGAAAATGAATGTAATAATATAATTTTTAGATAATATTTAGTTTTTCTTATAAAATTTGAGGTTGAAATGTGTTTAGTCCACTGCTTGGCGATTGTTTTTCAATGGGCAATAAACGCGCCAACATGGCTAACCCAATGTTTTGAAGGTGTGTTGTTATTCTGTTGCCAGTGAATGTTATCACCCTGTGTTATATTTTAAAAAATTAAATATTGAAAAATCTGGATAAATGTTTATGGCATCGTGATAAAACAACGGTAACTAGAGCCATCAAATTTTGAATAACGTACGTTTCCAACCTAATATGGGCATCTGGAAGCCCTAACTTGGAATTTGGAATTTTTTTTATTATCTGATTCCTATTTTGTCCTAAACATGAACGAATTTTTGATAACGAACTAAAAAATATTAAAGCGAGCAACGGCAACACAGTATGGGAAAAAACATTTTTATGTGCAGAGCACAAAACAGTGTGTCGGAAATTTAAAGCTATTCTGTTGCGGTTTGAATGTTCTTATGTGGTGGTTCTTTTTTTAATCGAGTGATTCCCCCCCCCCCCGTGAGTTTTTGCCATTTTTCTGCATATATTACGGAAACGGCGTATAAAACGTTAGTAAATTTATTTAAAGATGAGGGGAGGTCCAAAACGGTTTAAAAGAGATAATACAGAAATAAATGTAAATGACTAAAAAGAATTAATAAAACATTACATTTAATTAAAAAGCTATACTTATAGTCTATAAGATATTACTTTAAAAAACTAAGAATAATATTTGGCATGAACAAACAATTTCTAAAATTGTTTATTAAATTCAATAATACTATAGTGTACATTAACACTGCACAGAATAAAATAGCAATCTAACTTAAGCATGAAACTTACGGTTTAATCCTATGTCATGGTATGTCAAAATTGCTGGTTTATTTTTTTCACCATGAACTGCTACAGTAACTGTGCCATATTCTGTGTCTATCTGGTCATCCTATTAAAGAAGAACTAATTAAATACATATATATTATTATTAGAAAAGGTTTTTCATATATCATTTCCAAAGAACAGAAAATTAATTAAAATGATGAATTAGTAAAGAACTAAATAATTAATTAAAATGATGAATGAGTAAAGAACTAAATAATTAATTAAAATGATGAATTAGTAAAGAACTAAATAATTACTTAAATGATGAATTAAAATTTTAAAAAATTAATTCATGAAAATATACATGAAATATTTTAAAAGACTGAGATTTAAAATAAAGATTATTTTTTTTGGAAAGAGAAAAACCTACTTTAAGCATTTAATACAGTATGCATTTAAAGTCTACAATGAAATACTATTATATAACTCATGATATATGTTTACAGACCCTATCAAAAAGATCCTCAATTTTGCGAAGGGTGCTAAATATTGATTTCTCTAAACTTTGCATTTTTCTATCTTTCTTTTGCTTTAAAAAAAAAATAGCTCCTTATTTTTTTACTTTTTTAATTTAGCAAGCCTTTACTTTAAGCAAAGTAAGTAATAAAACCAGTAAAGAAACAAAGTAAGAAATAAAACCAGTACAGGAAAGTTCCAAAAGCTAAATTTACATTTAAACAACAAAATAAGGTTACAGTTAAGATAACTAGACAACAATGTGATCTTCATTATTCAAATATTTCAATAAAATAAACAGTACTATACTATAATGAAAGGAAGAAAAGCAATAAACTCAAAATTGAAGCATTTCAAACTATTGTTTTTTAATATTTGTTCATGAATGTACTTAATGACCATAATATAAAAATTTCCTTTCTTAATATACATTTCAGTGCTTTCCTTTCTATAAATTGATTTACATTAAAGTTCTCAACTTAAAATATTGGATCATCTGAAAAGTCCTTAGGTTTTGTTTAAGATAAATACAAACGAAGTAACACAAAAACATGAGAATCTATTACTGAACTACAACAGCACCATTTTATTCTACGATTTTTTTCAATCTCTGGAGCTGATGGAAAATTCCTTTTTTAAAATAAATCATTATGCATTATTTGTAAAGAAATTCATGTGGTGTTTAAAATTCTCTTAAGTGAATGCCATGTCATTTGGAGAATTTTGAAATGACCTGAAGAGATGAAAATCCAAGAAGTTAGGTCTAGTGAATATGGGGGTGATGCAAAATATCTCACCCATATTCAATAAGTTTTTGTATGAAGCTCATTAAAATGCGAGGCTGAGCACTGTCATGACGAAAGTTAACACCTTGATGATTGGTCAATTCTGTGTTCTTCACTTTGATTTCTGCTTTTAAAAATGCCATTTGGAAAAAGTATTTTTCCAAACTTATATCTGATTTGGTGGCAAAAATTCATAGCATATAATTTAGTCCCACTATACACTTTGTAGTCCCACCACATAGCATTGTAATGAAGCATTTAAAAAAATACGGTCTTTATTTATTTTTTTTTTTTTTAAGATAAGAATCATAGGCCAAAAGTAGAACATGCAGATTCTATTCTGTTATAGAATGGGATATTTACACACTGTAGACGCTTACAAGCCCTAGCTTCTTCGAATGATCATGTACTGTAAGTGGAATATGTATTTTGTCTGATAGTTCCTGGAACTGTAGAACTTTAATTTTCAGTGACAACTTCTTTTAATAACTCCTTTCAATAGGTTTTGATAGCTCCACAGCAGGCATCATATTTGAAGCTTATATTTGGATGCTTAAACTTCTGAAACCGCATTTAAATGCATCAGCAGAAACAGCACTTTTTTCACATATAATGCAAATTTTATGAGCAGCTGACAATCATTTTCCCCCTTTTTCAAAATAAAAGAACATAATATGATAAAAATGACCTTTTTGGTTCTCCATTCTTAGTAATTCACTAAAATAAAATGCTAAATGCTAAAATTATGTAATGTGAACAGAAAAGACCATACTTAAACATCCATATCAGCAGTGACAATATAATTAGCAGAAAATGTACTTCAAAATGAAAAAAAGAACTTTTGAATGAAGAACTTTTCAATAAATGTCTGAAATGTAATAATAGCAAGAAGGAATAAAAAATAAAATTTCAAAATTGTTAAAATGAAAATTTCTTAATTTCATCACAAACAAAAATTTCTTAACTGAAATTTGATTATTGTATGATATTTTTTACATGTATTACATGTTTATTTTACATGTTTACAAACATGTATATTAAAATATTAGACATAGTAGATCATCTTCATAATAGTTGAGATTTGCTGCCACTATTAGCTTGTTGTTTAAAATATTTTGTTCTCTTATTTTCATTCATGATCTAACTATCATTCCAATGGATGGAAAGTTATAAAAACAAAGATTAAAACAAGTAATTATACGACTCTACTTTTAAAATGCAATTTAAATGCAACTCTTCATAAGGAGATACAAAAAGCTGTCCCACTCCAAGGGTTAATATCAAAAGCACCCCAAATCAATAAATATTATATATTCCACAACTAAGAAAAGAAATAAGATACCTTTAATAGGTTCTTATGGTTTAAGTATCAATAGAAGTTTTTATTCAAATAAAAATTTGCCAGAATTATTTCTTTTTCAGAACAGCTCCAATATTTTGTAATGATACTGGGTTTAGAAATTAAATATACTTCTAAGAACATTAAAGCTACGTTAATATAAAATGAATTATATAAAACAGGCACACATTAAGAAAGACAGATAATTGTCACAAGCAGGTTAGTGAAATTCAACATGTTATTAAACAGAAAATTTTAAAAGGATAAAAGTTTAATTAAATTTTAATAAACAGTTCATTAAAAACTGATGCAGATTTTGTTATGTAAATGGTTAAAAATACTTTTCCTAATTTCCAGATAAAATGAAATCATTTACTAAAAATAGTAATTCAAAACGAATAGTAATACTAATTTTTTTCATAATTATCATACTAATTGATTTTTGATGTTTTACAAAACCCAAGAATTTTCATTCTAGTTCTGTGTTGGGGAAATTTAAGTACTGGCAAAAGCTCATCAAGCTTATCCTTCTAGTTGAATTTACTTTGTTACTTGTTCAGTTCGTATTCCCTTTGTCATATAATACAGTTAAAATGATTGTGTATTTACTATGGATTTTATTAATATACAAATAACCTAACTTCATAATTAACATTCAGTTTCTTCCATATCTGTACTATTAAAATCTGTGTGCATCTGTCTGTTTGTTTCTGGCATTATCTCCTCCAGAATGGCGGGGAGTTGATTTCCAGAGTAGTACACCCCCCCCCCCGATTCCAAAAATTCCTGGAAAGCCATTTCGACTATTCTCATCTTCATACAACTTTAATTAGTCAAGATATTAATCAAAACTCTAATTTTTGCACTCCTTTTTGCAAGTGGCAACAGTTTTAGATGCAGAAGATAAAAATCTGCTTAATTTCAAAAAGTGTTGACACTTCTCGGTTTCAAATCATAGAGTTTGTTAATAAAAAATGTGTAAGTTTTACAAAATATGAAACAAAAATAGCACTGCTAAACATTAATTATATTATTTCGGATTCCGAAAGTTCGTGGGAAGCAATTTCAACCATTCTCATCTTCATATGACTTTAATTAACTGAGATATTAATTAAAAACTCTGAAAACAGCAATTTTTGCACTGTTTTTTCCAAATGGCAACAGTCTTGCATGCTGGAGATAAAAAAATTGCTTTATTTTAAAAAGTGTTGCCACTGCTCGCTTTTAAATAACGCAGTTTGTTTATTAAAATTTGTAAGTTTTACAAAATGAAATAAAAATAGCATTGCTAAATTATTATATAAGATCATTAAGGCATTATTATTATATAAGATCATTAAGGCATTATTATTATATAAGATCATATTCTGACATCGAAGAAAGCACATGGTCAGCATTTTAAATCAATAGCTGCTGTTTAAACTTTTTTGTTTCAGGTTAGGATAACTGATACAATATGTTATTGCCATGTTAATTCTTTTATTAATATTGAAAAAAAGCTGTTATATTATATTAAATTTAAATCATGACATCACACGTATACATATTAACCTAAAGTGTCAAAAATTTTTGTTTCCTGGTTTGGCAATAAAAAAATTATTTATGAATTGGTTGTTGATTGGAAAGACAGAACTGGTTTCATCCATTTGAAATGTTTTTATATTTTCTTTTGAGGCGTAAATATAAATTTTGCTTTGACTATACACCAGGAAGATGACATCCGTCCTAGTTCGTGCCGTATGGAATTGAACATAATTTCTGTGGAAATCAGTTACACTGGCATACAAGGCCCGTTGTTCTGTACATATTATTTTCTTTTATTATAAGATATTTTGAATAGCACAGTATTACATATGAACATTCTTATAACATAAATCAATACTATATATAAGTGAAATTATATATTGTATGTATACACATATATGCATTTGGCAATGCATTAAATGAGTATTACATTTGGTGTATAAATAAGTCAAATGCGCTACATTTAAGTGATGACAATCAATGTGGATGAAAGATTTGTAGGTGCTACTTTGGTAGACAGTTGCATGGATTTTGGTGGATTTTTTTGGGCGAGGAATACGACTTATGGTAAACCCATTGCTAGACAAGTTATTTATGGTAACTGATACTTTGCTGTCCTTTTGTTTAAAAAATAATGCATTTTATTATGCATAAATTCTGTGTTTTAAATATTATTTATGGCTTCTAAATATTAAAAATCGATTTAATTTTGCATTTTTATTTGAAATAAAAATTTTATTGTTTATGATATTTTATGGAATTTTATGTGTGGATGATGTAATGAATGACGTGACATTACTTTAAAAGTATTGGTTTAATATCTATAAATTAATTCTAATGTTTTAAACATTATTTATGGCTGTTAAACATTAAAATACAATTTAATTTTGCATTTTTGTAGAAATGATTTTATTATGTATGAATATTTATATAATTTTAATTCTATGCATGATGTAATCA